TCTGATTCTGTGCTTCTACGACTGATCGGCCCGGCCCCCTCTAGGCCTGGATGTTCACCAGGTCGCTCTCTGTGAACTCGCTCCTGGAGGCTATCTCCTTGACAGTAATCACGTTCTCGATGCCGGTCTTCATTTTGAGTAGTCGTCGATGTCGTATCATTCCCGATAATAAGTAATCCTGCATCTGCGGAAACTGCCCTGGCTTTGTGAGGCTGTCCATGACCATGACTTCGGTCGGCCAGTGGTAGAATCTCCGCAATCGTCCTGATAGTCTGTCCTCTCTGAGACTGAGGATGCTAAGACGCTGTGTCTTGTCAACTGGAATTCCTTTCATTCCCGTCACGAGCTGGTAGAGGTCGTAGCAGTCGGTGATGATGTCGATCGGGATGATCGAGTGCCCTTCATCCTGCATTAGCATTAGATTCTTGAGGGCACCTCCTGCAGTCTTGTCCAATGTCGGTCTGGCAATCAACTCGGTGAACCTCAGTGCCGTGAATTGTGCTGCTTGTGAACCTCCGACTGCTGCCACCGTCTCTGCATGACTTGTCGAATATGATACTCGCTTGGACTTCCTGCTCTGACCTATTAGTGGATGCGCTGCATCAAAGACGTTGTCGTATGAGGTCTTCGAGACAATGCCATGACGATTGAACTCTACTTCGCGATCTTCCATCAAGAAGAGCCCCTGAGCTTCATGTGCATATGACGTCGTCTTGGTGGCATGAGCTGCATCATTGATACTTACCAAGCGGAATGGTCCATTCATCTTGCGATAGTACAGACCTGCTCGTTCTCGATTCTTCTTAGCTCTCTCTAGCACACTCTTCAACTGCTTGAAGTCTCCAATTGTTGGGGCCGTCTGCTTCGTCTGCATCTGTGTCGTGGCCGCGCTCAGATCCCAACGTGTCTGAAGAAGATGAAGTAGTTGACTGCATAGCGATCTATATTGATCGTGCTCACTGGCCGTACATGGTGAGCCGTCATTCTTACTTCGTTCTTTGTCCAACTGTGGTGATTCTATCGTGTCCAGGTAGGCGTCCTGACTCAGAAAGATAGTGCCATCTGGTAGTCGATGATATTCGATGCCAAGATGAGTGAAGGGCATGGTCTTCCTCGTGATCTTGCCGAACTTCTTCTCCAGCAAATCATGTGCCCAATTCAGCCATGACTGCCTGCCTGTCGGGAAGAGATCATCCACATGTACTGTAGTCGCTAGCGTGAGCTCCTCCGTCTTGTCATCATGCCACACAAAGCAGTTCTCGTCCAATAGTGCTCGCTTGCCCGCCATCTTGTCCTTGATGTGGAGCGTCAGCGCTGCCTGCCATAGCAGTGGGGCATCAATGAGTCCTGGGACTGGTTTCACACACTCAAGTACATATAGATGTTGTTGATCATCTGGAATCTTGGCGAACATCTCCGACAACTGCTTGAGGTGGCGCCATGCGTTCGCTGGAGGAGCTATGTAGACCTCGCGCTTCTCTCGTACATCTAGTCCAAGCTCACGAGATCGTTCGGATAATTCACTGAACCTCAAGCCCTGCATGAAGGCTGATGAAATGTCCCAGCTTTCTGTCACAAAGCCTGGTTCACATTGACTTATCGATGCCATCATTCTTTGCGATACTCTTGCTGCCGTCGAAGAGTGTCTGTCCACAGCCCATTTCTGATTGTCCAAGAAACCTCGTCCACAGAGTCTGCAGCGCACGACCCATTTCTCCTTCCACATCCATCGTCTGACCCAAGTAGCGTCGATGAAGTTGGCGTTGTTACACTCGGTCTTCAACTTGGGCCTGAAGCAGTCGTGCTTGACGTAGTTCTTGATCTCATTGTGGTCGGATTCTTCTATCTGGGGCCAGAGGCTCTCGAACTCGGATTCCTGAATCAATTGCTCGGCTTGGGGCGCATATATCTCCACCATCTCGTGATCCATCGAGTCCAGGTAGAAACATCGCGAGGGACCGTGACTCTCCAAGCCCTTGAAGATACAGCAGGAATCTGTGGTAGTCCATGGAGACGTTGCAGCATGATGATGTGTAGTGATGTCCGGAGGGCTTGGATAGAGCTTATCAGGAAAGTGACTGATCTCATATAGCTTCACCAACTCCTCCGTATGTGTGATGACTGATCTATCTGATGTGTGGCCTGCATACCACGTGTGCAGTGCGTCTGCGTCCTGCAACGGGATTGGTTCGTCCTCGTGATCGTTCGTCACCCCAACCTCGGGAACCTCCATCAACTCACCAAGCGCGTTGGCCAGAATGCCAGAGTCATTGACATTCATCGTGTTCTCCTCGCCATGGCTGCCTGTTTGAGCCGAGACTGCTTGTCCATCTTGAACTGGTTGAAATCCTCGATCATGATGCGGATCATCTCCAGGTGCTGGTCCATCTTGAAGTGGTTCAGTAGTTGGTCGCGCTTGTTTCCGCTGATGTCCAAGGTCGATGATGCTGTCGTCCAAATCGGTCTCCTGTCGTGCTCTCGGGTCATGCCGAGTCCTGGTCGTGGTGTCGTCATTCTGTTCAGCGACTGGCACCAGTTGCCTTGATGTTGATGCGGTCCCGGAATCTGGTCGTCTCGGTGAGTGTGATCGTGATCGTGGAGCTGCTGATGCTGGGTGTCGTGCTCCTGCTTCTTCTGGAAGTTGTTGGGCGCTGTCTGCATGAATACTACGTTCAAGAGCTTCAACTTCCTCATGTATCTCCATCAGCTTGCTCATCTCCCGTTCCAGATTCTCATCATCAATCAGCTGGCTAAGATCTTGCTCGAGTCCGTCATTGAACTCTGCCGGTGAAATCGATGCTGCTCCTGCTGATGGCTGAAACACTCCATCTCCGTCATCGTCGCGTCTCTGTGTCATCTGAGTCCGAGCTGCCGCTGCTGCTGCAGTGGTCTTCTGCTTTGCGATCGTCTGAATCACACCGCGTAGCTTTTCCAGGATAGGCGGAACCGCTTGTTCAGGTGCTGCCAGTTCCTGATGTTGCTCTGCGGTTGATGGAAATACTGGCTGCGCTGGTGTCTGAGTAAGTCGTGGTGCTTCTGCAGGTGTCACTGGCGATGCTGGTGTGATCGGAGAGGCAGGAGGCATCGTCTGATCATCCACCTCGATGGGCATTGTGTGCTGCAAGATGCTGGGTGGATCATACGGATCGTCGTCAAGAAACGGTATGTCGCTTAGATCAGGATGCTGGTAGGTGCCCGGGTTGTCGTCACCATACCGATGCTTTGATACCAATAATAGAAAATGGTACTTGTCCCAGTCGGCGCCTACGAACTTCACCATGTTGATCGGTTGACTCGGATCGATGTCGCTGCTGTAGTAGTCTTCTCGGTGTCGATCTCGCCAGGCCACGATCACTCCATGTGTGAATTCACTCAGACCCTTTAGCTGTCGTTGTCCTTGACCGTAGATGATGCCGTCCACGCTCGTCATCCGAAAGATGGTCATACCCACACTCTGTGCCAGCAACCATGTCGGAGGAGGTGTCTGCAGTAGTTCCGGTGGTGTCGGTTGCTCGTTGAAGATACCCATGCGATACACGATGCCTGGTGGTGTGCCTTCAATGATCTCGAATAACTCCGTGAGCTTCATCGTGCTGCCGCTGCCGAGGTACACTTGATATTTGTCCCAGGATGTGCCCAGGACGTAGAAGCTCATTCGTCGTGCTCGCATGTGCCTTGTCGGTATCTTGTATGGCTGATTCTGATGAATCACGATGGCCGCCGCCTTGTCCTTGTCAAGGCTGATGAACTCCGCTGGACCTCGCCAGCCATCTTGATCTTTCCTGGCTGGTGTACGCCAGATAGCTATTTGATCATGAGGTTTGAGCGTCTCGATCCACTTGGCGTCCTGAGCTTGCTGACGTGTATTGTTGGCCTTGGCGATCCTTTCCTCGATGATGGCCTGCAGGATGTTAGACTTTGCCAAGAGCCTGAGGCGCAGGTGCTGCTCGGTCGGGTCCGGCGTGAGATCCATCGCACTCTGCGTAGCCGTCAGAGTTCCTGCTTCAGGATCGTAGGCGTCCTTAGGCATGTATCCGAACAACCCTTGAGCTGGAACCGAGCCGCCATAATTCATAAAGAGATTTGCCACCATCGCTGATTCCTCCACTATGTCCTCGTCGCTGATGTCGGTCAGGCCTTGCTTGATCACGTCGCGCTTCGTCTTGAGAGCAGTCAGCTTCAAGGTCTGAATCGCTCGCTCTGCCAGGCCTGTGGTGGTGTGTCCGTCAGCTCCACCAAATATCAGCCGTAGATTGTATCTGTCTGCCACCAGCGCCACGTTGTCATTTGTCATACCGCCTTCTTGATCCATCACCAGGTTGTCCATCGGCCCGAAATACCGAATCCAGTGACCAAGCATTGCACGTAGAACGTCCTTGCCCTGCTTGGTAGCTAAATGGCATGCGATGCGGTACCTGATGCATTCGTCGATCATCATCAGCCAAGTCTTCTCGAATACGAAGAACAGATCTGCTTGGACGCGCTCATTGAAACGAACTGCGATGGTCATCTTGATACTCGGCTTGTTCATAGCTCGCTGTCGCTGCAAGCAGGTTTCGCAGTGCTCGGCCAGACCTTTGCATAGCTCTCGAATAGGTGCAGGTAGTCCAAGAGCTCGAATCATCCTCTCGATCTCAAAGTCTGGAGGGTGAAAGAACTTGTAGTGAAGGCCCATGAGCAGCTTGATGCGTTCTTCGTCCGAGGCAGCCTGGGTCAACTTCTGAGCTAGCTTGCCCAGGTCGAAGGAAGGTTTGATGATCGTGACCTTTGATGCCGATGTCGTCGGTCGTGATGCCACTGGCATTGGAGGCGGTGGAATCGGATCTGCTGCTGGTGGTTCTGCTGCTGCTGCTGCTGGTGGTTCTGCTGCTGCTGCTGCTGGTGCTGGTGCTGGTGCTTGCTCGTCTGCTGGTGCTGGTGCTGGAGGAGGTGCTGGCTCTCCAACCTGTGCTGCTGCTGCCTGAGGTGCTGCTGCAGCGGGAGCTGCTCCTGGTCCAGGAACCGGCTTGAATCTGCAACCATCCTCTCGTGTGTGTGGTACCCCAGAACCTGCACCATGCTGACAGCGTTTGCATTTCCAGTAAGCCTGTGTCCGGCAGGAGTGCATGTGCTTGACCATGTCCTTGACCAATGATCGGCACAACCCAACTGGATAAACTGCTGCCAAAGCCGTTCGCTTGCGACCCTTGTCGTCGGTGCCTTGCAGCTCCGCATGTGGTGTTGTGCATTTGCAGGATCTGGATGTGCTTCGCAGCCGCGTCGTACTTCGGAAGAAGGTCCTCTTGCGAATCGGCAACTTCAGATCCACACTCCAAGCTCCATGCGCGCACTGGTCAGTAATGTTGTCATGCATCTCGCGCATCAGGATGTCTGGGATCAGACGAAGATCAGACTGCTTCCAGATAGCTGATCGAGATGGGTTCTCCATGATAACCTGACTTCCTCTGCGCTCCAGTGCGGGCGCATACGTCTGAGCTGTCCATGTCAATATCGGTCGTTCGTAGTCTCGCCTGCTTTCCAACTCAACAGGCTCCGCGTTGTTATTTGATTGAGACCAGGGTCGACAGTAGAACTCCATTAGTGAAAATAATGGCACAAAGGCTTCGTGTAGTTCAAGTAGCAGCTGCTGATGATCTGGTCGATGTAGATCCCAGCCATAGCGATAGTCGATAGGTGGTAAAGTTATCAGGTGATTCCGATAGGCTGCACAAGAAACTCCAGAGGTACCTGAAAAGACTTCCACCATCAGACTCGTCTTGTGAGCTACTGAACGCATATGCTGAATGAAGTCTCGAACGTGTTCTGGTCGAATCATCGGTAACCGAGATGTAGTGTAAAACTTCTCGTCCATGAACTCGTACTCTCGAGCCATTCGATGACAATCTGCATGCTCGAAGTTACTTGGCCATTCATTTTGAGAGTATCTGTTGCTGCCGAACTGTCTCCATACATCATAGAACTCTGTGGCGTCCTTGTTCTGATAAGATCCATGCGTCTGTCTCGATGGCGGTGTCGTTGAAGGTGCTGCCAGTTTACTTATCTCACTCTGATTCTGCGCTTCGGGGCATTGTGGTTGACTGGCCGTGTGTAGCTGAACCTTGGGCTTCCGGCGATGATCAAATGCTGAGAACAACTTAGATATCCTTTCCTCGATCAGGCTGACCATCTCCTCTACCACTTGCTCTGACTGAGGCTTGAACACGTCGATCGGTAGAAGATAGTGCCCAGAATCTGTCAGCAATACTCGAGCCATCGTAGAGACTTTATCGTCAGGTACGAACGCCAGGATGCCATCACCATTGCGATACATGTTCTCGAACAGGATGCACTTTTGCTTGATCATGGTGCTGTTGGGCAGGAGGCCCGGGCACCTTGCGCCAGGACCGCCTATCATGTCCGCCTGGTAGGTGGTGCCCTTCGCCATGCCTTCGACCCAGATCGGTCCGAGAAACTCGCCACATGAGGGGTCTGCTTGACCGTTGATGCCCGTGAAGGTCGCCTGAGAAGACCGGATGTTGTAGGAGATGCCTTCAGGCTGATACAAGTCCATGTTCCACTCCAACAACGTCTCCGTGCCAAGTAGGCCTTCCGCTGCTCCTGGGTCAACGATCAATCCATGTCGAGGCTTGCCTTTCACTGTATGCAGTATCGCGTAGGGGTCATCGTTGCCGTTCTTACCTTCCAGGAATGAGCTGTGTCGCTGATCATCATATGTCGGCCTCTGCGGACAACCAAGCAATTGAAGTGATTGATCTGCTTTTGCAGGCAATGTCTGCTGACAACCAGATATCCTAGATGATTGAGTAGATTCGTTCATCGTGTCATTGTCATCTGAAGAGTTCCTCTGGTCATTCCTGTCAGTGCCACCTGTGATGCTCACCTGGTTCTTCATGACCACCAAAGCGTACTGCTTAGATAACTTCTGGGCCAGCGTCAAAGCTGGAGCCTCGCTTGCCGATGATGATGCCGTCGTGTCACGAAGCACCGATCTCAGAGGCGTCCGGCTGACTCGATCATCTGGAAAAGGAGAGGCTGAACCCAGTATGGGTGGTCGAACCGGTCGCTGCCGTTCTGGTGTTGGTGCCTGCGTGTACCAGTCAGAGGGCTCGTCCGCGTCGATCTGATACGAACCACCTTCTGGTACTGCACACTCGGAACCGGTAGCCATGTGATATCGCTCCACAGGTATTGTGCTTGCCGTCGAGGTAGTCGGAGTAGCAACGTTGATCCAAGAGCCAGGCGGCCTCGTTGTCATCTGTGGTGTCGCCGAACTCGATCCTGCGGATGCTTGTGCTGCAGTCGGGTCCGAGGTAGAGAGACCCACAACGTTTGCATAGTGACGGCTGCGTCCGCCTTTACCTTTGCCTTTCGTCGAGGTCGAGCTCTGCTGCTGCTGCTGCGGCTGCTGCTGTTGCTGTCGATCCTTGGCGGGGCAGTGAGCTCGATCATGCCATTTGCTTCCACATATATCACATCCGTCGTGTCGCTGACCTGCACCGCTCATGCGATCGTTGCCGTTGCCGCTGTGACCTTTGCCTTTGCCACGTCCTTTGCCTTTCATGGGAAAGCGCCGTCTAAATCCGCCTCGTCCTCGACCTTTGCCTTTGCTCTTGCCACGCTTGCCTTTGCCACATCCTTTGCCACCGTAGTAGGTGTCGTTGTCGTCTTGCTCTGCCTCGTAGTACTCCGTCATCTCGCCGCTGTCATCGTACTTGGCCCAGATGTCATCGTATTCCTGGAAGTACCATTCACCATCTGCTGTAGCCGTCCAGCCGAAATCCTGGTCATAGCCCCATTCGTATTGCTCGTCGTTGTAGGCCTCATACCAGGTCTCCACCATGTCGTCTGGATCGGCTCCGTCTCCCTGTTCACCATACCAGGCCCACTCGTTGTGTTGACCAACCTGGTCCTGTTTGCCGAGCCTCATCATCAGGCCCTGCAATACTCGATATTGGGATAAATCACCTGCCACGTGTAATTTCAAATCGTCGAGCCTCTTATCTGATAATCCACTGTTCTTCAGCAAGAAGTGACTGCGGCCTGTGTCAATCATAACCAAGCCGCCTTCCTCGCATGCATCTTCGAATGCCAGCTCAAACGATGAGATCCATGTCGGGATATCCTGATGATGTCCTCTCCGGCAATCGAAGAATGAGTCCAAGACAATGCCAACTCGATCCTGATCATGTAATTCATATATTGCCTTCTGCTGATTCAAGAAGTGTTTGATGCCTGGTTGATCTTCTTGCTGATGGGGAGGATTGGCCAATTGTGCCGGCAGAGCGATAGCTTCATCTCCTCGATACTGAACTCCGTGTCGTACGTGAGTGAATGACATGGCTGCGGTGAAGGGCGCGCCCTGAAGTCGTGAGACTATCAGCGGGCCGATCCGTTCATATTGATTCTCCTCGGTGATCCTCCACCACAGCTTCAGCTTCTGCATATATCGTCGGAACGTGTAACCTCTGATATGCGGGCGCCAGCCCGGTGGAACGAACTTCGTGAACTCCTCGAGCTGAAGCGTGCCTTGCTGTCTGTCGCCGCCTTGCTGCTGGTGCGCCATGTCGGCGCCACAAAAAACAAAGTACAAGTAGTAGAAAACAGTGCCGTAGATCAGGCGTGTCCGCCTGAGCCTCCTCGATGTGCTGGTGGTACTTCGCGTGCCCGCGGTACTCGTTGCACTCTTGGAGGAAGTCGTCGTCGTGGTACCCCGCGTACACGCGGGACTTCGCGCACTGGTCGTCCAGCGCGCACTAGTACTTGCAGTAGTCGTATCTGCCTGCGGAGGCGCGGGCACGCGCGGCGCTGGCCGCGCGGAGGGCCGGCCGACCGGAGGGTGGCCCGCGGAGCTTGATAGCTCCGCTACCAAAGCGGGCTTTTCTCGCCTTGAGCCACAGTATGTTTACGATTCCGTGGCTATAAAAAGTAGCAGCTAGGGCACTCTGCCCTATCCGGCGGTGGCGACGTAGGAAGCCTCAAGAGATGTCTGAAGTCGTACCAGGGGCCTACTATTCTCACTGGAGGAGGAGGAGGAGGAGGAGGAGGAGGAGGAGGAGAGGAAGAGGAAGAGTTCGATTAGTTGTGGGAGGAGCAGGAGGAGCAGCATATAGCAAATTTGCGCAGCGATGCTGCAAATCATACTCCCGTCCCAGGTCTCTTCTTCATACGCCCCTGCAGGTCTTCCTTTTCATTCGAAGAAGCGCGCCCCTCTTGAAACACCAGCACAGTTGGGCCTGCCATTTTGGCGAGGGCACCGCTCTGCCAGAAGGGATGTCCTTGCATCTTTCGGGCGCGAGGTCTGGAACGCGAAAGCAATGACCATACAGTTCAACGAGGTGTCGAGGATGAGGAGGAGGAGGAAGAGGAGGAGGACGATGAGGAGGACGAGGAGGAGGACTAGGAGGAGGAGGAGGAAAAGGAGGAGGATACCGAGGAGGAGGAAGAGGAGGAGGAGGACGAGGAGGAGGAGGCGAGGAGGCCGGGAGGCGGGCGCTGCCGAGGCCGAGGCAAGGTGCAAGGGGCGCGAGGCCTCCTGCGCGATATGCCTCTTCTCGAAGACGGGCCGCCCCCTCATCCGTGTAGCTCTTCTGCACATGCTCACACTCGTGGCCACTGCACACGTCGCGGAAGGCGCCAGCGGCAGCTCCACGTGAAGAAGCCCTGGATCCGTGCAGGGCTGCACGCGTGGAGTCTCCAGATCTGTGTGCTCAGCGACGTGTCTGGCGCGAGCCACGTCTTGAACACGAGCAGTCCTCTGTCTTGCTAGATGCTGCATGCAGCACGAGTGCGCGCGGCGCGGCGCTGAGGCGAGAGCCCGAGGTTGGAAGCGATCCTGTGCTCCATGCGTCAGACTGTTGCCTTGGCGTCGCTCGGACGTGTGCATTTTCCCTCCTGCGAGGACGATGGCGAGTTGCAGGATGACGAGGCGGGTGTTTCGCGGCTCTGGGGCGGCTGGCCCGCTTGGATCGGGAGTCTCCGTCCAGCCGTGAAGCTGCGGCACAATCTGTGAGCCCTTCTTCCAGCCGTGACACTGCCGGGGATTGTTACAGTCGGGGCGCTGAAGAAGGAACCCTTTTCGTTGGGGAGGGGCTCGGTGTTCCTTGATTGTTTCAAAGTTTGCCTCGGGTTTTCCTGGGGTTTTCCATAGGACATCGAGGTTGACCTTATGGGAAAAAGGGGCCTCGTTCCTTATTCAGGGTTCCTTAGGTCCACGCCTCGACTGTACAACGAATGTGCGGGGCGCTCAGGAGAGAGCCACATTTTGAGTGCTGCCTCCCCTCCATCCGTGAAGCGGTTGCGAACTTGTAGGACGACTGTGCGCGAAGTTCCGCTGAGAGCTGCATTTGGAAAGCGACACCCCTCCATCCGTGAACCTGTTGCGCACTTTCAGGACAAACTTGCGCGGCGTTACGGTCAGAGCTACACTTTGGAGATAAGTCGACCTCGTCAAAAAAGTGTTTGACGGCCGGTCTGGGACCCCCCCCAAGACCGGTGCAACCGCGCCAAAATTCGGACCCCCCCAGAAGCATCGTTTGACGTTTCGATCTGGACCCCCCCCAAAGAGGAGTGTCTGGGCATGCATTTTGGGACCCCCCCGAGAAAACGGCGACGACGACGCCGGTGACGACGACGCGGACAACGGCTACGACTACAACGCCGATGATGACCGCGACGACGATGCCGACGAAAACGGCGCCGACGACACGGACGACGACGATAACACCGACGACGACGACGCCGACGACAACACCGACAACGGCGACGGCGCTAACAACGACGGCGAGGACGACGACGACGACCACGAAGACGCAGACGACGAAAACGGCGACGACGGCGATGATACCGACGACACCGTCGATAACGATGGCGACGCCGACGACAATTACGACGTCGACACCAGGACGACGACTACTACGACGACGACGGCGACGACGACACCGACGACATCGATGACGACGACGACGGCGACACCGACGACGACGAACACGCCGAAGGGGACGACACGAATACGCCGAAGGGGTCGATGTCGTTGTCGTCGGTGATGGCGTCGGCGTCGTCGTCGCGGGGGTCGTCGTCGTCGTCGCAGGCGTCGTCGTCATCGGTGTCGTCGTCGTCGCCAGGGAGCTGGCGACTGGCGGGGAGCTGGGCACCCCCAAAACCTTTATCAGATGTCGAGAAAATTGAGACCCCCCCAAAAGTTTTGCATGACAGCCCGAAGTAGACCCCCCCCAGACAGGCAACAAAAGCTCCCAAATCGAGACCTCCCCACATTAGACCCCCCTCAGAAGCAGACCCCCCCCCATTGTTATGAGATCCGGAGAAGACGCTTCGCGTAACCCCACAGTCCAGGTCTAGCAGTCTAGGTTCGGACTCCGCGGCTGCATCGACGTCAGTGCATTGGTCAATGGCTCACGGCGACTCGCGCCCATGAGTTCTAGTGAGTGGGTGAGTGAGGCTTCCCCTGCCGCCCCTCTTCTGCCCGCCCCTTCCCCGCTCTCTTGCCTCCGAGTGGTGAGCGGTGCGGCCCCACGTGCCCACTGCCCTGCCACTTGGCTGTTTGGCCCCTGCCTGCACTCTCTGGACTGCACGGTTTGAGCTGGCGCCACTGTGCGCCTTCTCTCCGTCTACTCCAGTCTGGTGCCGGCGTCCCCGTTCTCGGGTCGCTTGCATCGTAATAGGGGGGCATTTTGCCTCTTGCAGGTGCACTCGTTGCGTCGGCCTACGCGTCTTCGTAACCAATTCTCTCGCCTGTGCCCCAGACGTGCTTGCCCCGCTTCCTGGACTCTTCCTCGGAGCCGCCAATCAAAAAAGTACCCCCACAGCAACTCCATGAACGATGCTTGGACGAGTTTCATTGGTCAGGGATGTTGAGGACCATGCAATGAAATACCAGGCTGGGGACGCCGTCGTACCCCAAGACGGAGTGGATGAAGGAGGAATCGGAGGAGGATGCGAGAGCTGGGGCGCCGCCCTCGCGTGTCATTCTGTTCCGAGGGAGGTGTTCCTCAATGCCTTTTATGGAACAATATGTGACGTTCTTGGAGTTTCGCGCGCGCTGTTCTCAACGCCCAGTCGTGATACGATGCAGTGGCGTTGGCACTGCTTGTGCATGCGGCGCTCAAGCTTCAACTCCCAGCAGTTATCCTGAGACTGGAATTGCAGCTTTGCGCGGCGCCAGGGCTTCTGTCGCAGCTGGGCCCCGCGCCGCGCGCGCGTCGCCGGCTGTCGCGCGGCTGGGGAACGGCGCGCGTGTGTCAGGATGTGTCAGACGCGCTGCATCTCCGATAAGCGCATCCGGGCCTGCCCATGCCTTCAGCCTTGCATTTGGGCTGGTGCCTTGAGCGAATGAGTTGGCGGATGCAGGAAATCCCCACTGGGGTCCTGGCTTGGGGCTTGGCGGGCGCATCTGTTTTTTGCTGGCAGAGGAGCAGCTTGCGGTGGCATCCAAGAGCGCAGTCCTCGCCTCGGAGGCCAGGCGGGCCGGGCAGATCGTGGCCGCCTTGTGTAGGCAAGGGCGCATCTCGCGCCCTGTCTCCCGGGCCCCGTGCCTCGGAGTGGACTTCGGCGCAGACGGGGTGCTTGCTCGGGCCGCCGCGGCTCAGCGTGTTGTCGAGGCTAGTTTGCGGGCAAGACGGATCTCCGTGTGTGCGAGATCGAGCAGGCAGCGCCAGGTCACGGCGGCTGGAGAGGGTTGCGGGCCAGACGGCGGCGCGCCGCGGCCATCGGGCGCGCGGCGTGTTCGGTGCAGTGCCCCGCGGGCTCCGCGGGGACCTCGGCGCGGCCTGCGGGTCGAATCGGAGGGGGCGGCGCATCGCGACGGCGCTCGACTTGCGGGCCGCGGGCCGAGTCCAGGCGACGCGGCCGCGGCGGGGGTGCGCGATGGAGTTGTGGAGCGATTGCGCCCCTGGGCGTCGGCAAGCGAAGTGCGCCCCGCAGCCATTCGGATTTCGTTGGGGATGATGGATCAGTTGCGCGCTATGCAAGTGCCCGACCGCACGTGGCACGTCCACGGCCCAATCAGTGCAGTGATTGCCTTGTCATTCCTTTACGGGTGGCGCCCAACTTCGTGGCCCGCCCCGCTGGAAGTGGGGCGGCGGCGAGAGCGACGATCCGCGGGCCAAGTCCACCGAGCGGAGATTCCCTGGTGAGCGGATGATCGGCGCCGAGGGCTTGATTGACATCTTAGCAGATTTGACGGGTTCCTTTCCCGCGCAGTCATGGCGGACAGCAGCTCGGCATTTTGCAGGGGGGGGAGGGCGTGCGAAGTGGTATTGGCGACGCGTCTTGCCGCTCTTTGCTCGAGCGCCCAGGGGGCCCCCCAGCGGTGCGCGCCCTGGGCAGACGCGATGGAGGTCATTGCGGTCGGACGCGCGAGGCCGAGGGCCAGGTTCGAGGTGGGTGATCTCGGTCGTCGGCTGAGTGCTCGATGTCTGGCCAAAAGGTGAAGCGTTTAACGAGGCGCCCCTTCGCCGCGGCTGGACCTGCCCGCAGAACGCAGACAGCAGGGCACGCAGCGACTCCGACGCGTGCGCGGCGGGGGCGCTCGCGCAGCGTTAGCAGCGCGAGTGTTTCTGGCGCCGAGGACTGCTCGCTTCGTCATGAACAGCGGTGCCGCCAGTGGAAGGGGGCTACGTGGTTCTTCGGTTCAGATCTCATTGTGGGCGAGGAGGGCGACGGGTGCGCCATCTTGGAAACGGGTTCATCGTGCGAGTCCATCCTCATCTGCGGCGGCGCTCCCCAGCGCAGTTCGGCTGTGGAGGATGGGGCCCGCTCCATGGCCGTCGACAGACAGTGTATCTAGGAGAGGTATTTGGATTTGTTTTGAGGCGGATCACCGGGGCCGTTGGTGAATGTCACCATCAATGAAACGGTCCATATTGGTTTCCCCTAAGTAGATCTACGCGACCTAGGGGTGCTGCCTCGGAGGTATTTGTGGGGTTCCACCAGGCGCTTCAAGCAGGGGGAGCGCGGCCTAGGCAAGGTGCGTGCCATGTTCGTGCGTTCGCACTTGACTGACAGTGAGTCTCCTCCAAAAGGACAGCATGGGCGTTCGAGGGCGACGCGCGTGCGGGCCTCTTGGCAGGGGAGGTTGCTAAGCAGTATCGTGCCGGTGAAGCTATTTGTTTTCGGATCTTTTCTGATGAATAGCGTGCGGAACGGTCAGGCTACGTTTTCTTCGAGCGACAATGGGTTGCATGATTGTGGACCTTCGTCCCAGGCGCGGTGTGGGAAAAGGTCCTCGCATTATCCCGCTCGCCCCTGCCGCAGTGGCTCGCTTGTGTACGCAGCGTGCCTTGAACGAAGATGGCTTTGCTCTGCTCGTAAACGGTCCTCGGCGGCCCAGTTCGCGACTGACTTGCTTGCGTCTCCTTGTTGCAAGCTCGGGCCCTCGAACGGTACTCTACTTAGGTATGCTGTGGGGTCCGGGGTCCACTGTGCGGGGGGCTGCACACCTCGCGTTTTATAGCGTGCCACAAACGCCGCGAATTCTGGCTTTGCGGAGCATGCGGTTCCTGTCTCCTCCGCGCATGCCCGTGGCCTCGGAAAAGGCATGTGGGTACAGCCAATGTTTGAACAAGACAATTCGCAAACATTTGCAGATAATCGTTGATGGACTCTGGCCGAAATTTTGATCGCTGTCGGAGCGACGAGCCAGAGGTCTAGTATCTGAAAGAACTGTCGCATCGTGAACTCACCATTCCCCTTTTCATTACCCTCCCCCCTGCCCCCGCTCCTCCACCTCTACCCTCCACGGGGACGACGACGAGGGACGACGGCGAGCGATGCCGTCGGCCCTTCACCTTCTCCCCTCTCGACCCCCCTCCTCCAGCCCCCCCTCTCCAGGAGGAGGGCGACGAGAGGCGACGGCGAGCGATGACGTCGACAACGACGAGCGACGAGCGCTGACGACGTCGACGCCCCCCTCTGGGCTTTCCCTGGAGCGCGGATCCAGCCGTGGCCTCCGCTGGCGCCCAGTGGAGGCAACAACCGTGCCCATACTGTAGACACAGCCTCGATCCTCGATTGTCGATTGTCGATCCTCGATTGTCGATCCTCGATTGTCGATTGTCGATTCTCGACAATCTCGATTGCCGAGATTGTCGAGATTGTCGATCCTTGGTCTTCGGTTCTCGATCGTCGATCCTCGATCTTCGGCCCTCGATCGATCGGCGACGTCGACGTCGACGTCGACGTCCGCAACGAGCGAGCGCGGCACGAAAGCAGCCTCGGTCTTCGAGCTACGACTGTAGGTCCTCGATCTTCGGCCTCTCGTCGGACGGATCTTCCACAACGAACATGACGACGGCGACGTCGATGGCGATGGCGACAGAGACGACGACCACGACAGCAGCCGAAGGCCGCCGAGGGCCCGCCTGATCGGTCGACGGCCCGCCAAGGCCCAGCCGAGGGTCCGCCGAGGGGCCGCCGAAGAGCAGCCGAAGGGCAGCCGAGGGCCGCCGAAAGCCGCCGATGGCCACCGAGGGCGTGCCGAAGAGCCGCCGAAGGCCGCCCGAAGGGCACGCACACCGCGGCGAGGGCCGCGGCGACGAGCGATGACGACAACGGCAACGACGAAGACCGGCGCTTCCAGGCTGGGACGCGGGACATCAAGCGCGCCAGGCTGCGGAGCAGCAGCGATTTGGAGGCGGCCACCGACGCGGCCTCGAGGCTCCCCGGGTTGCGCGTCGTCGCACGTCGTCGACCCTCGCCGTCGTCGCTCTTCGGGGTTCGTCATCGTCGTGACCGCCGCCGCCGTCGTCGCCGCTCGCCGATCGCCATTGACGTCGTTAGTCGTCTCTTGTCGTCGGCGTTGTTGTCGTTCGTCGTAGTTCGTCTTCGCTCTTCGTCCCTCGTCGCTCGTCGTCGTTGTCGTCGTCGTCGCTCCGCCGCTGTCGTCGTTCTCGTCGTCGTCGTCGTCGTCAGCATCTTTCTCGTCGTCGTTGGCGTAGGAGGGGGAGGACGGGATAGAGGGAGGAGGATAGAAGAAGGGGAGGAGGCGGCAGAAAGGAGGAGGACAGGAGGAGGAGGAGGAGGAGGAGGAGGAGGAGGAGGAGGAGGAGGAGGATGGGGAGGAGGAGGAGGAGGAGGAAGAGGAGGAGGAGGAGCAGGAGGAGGAGGAGGAGGAAAAGGAGGAAGAGGAAGAGGAGGAGGAGGAGGAGAAGGAGGAGGAGGAGGACGGGGAGGAAGTATAAACATATTCGTAATACGAAGAATAATAATACGAATATTACACATGAGAGTAATACTAAACATAACAAGAATAACATGAATACTAATAATCATGATGGTGATAAAGGTGTTGATGCTACTAATCGCAATACCGACATGATCAATAGCACTAAACAAAGTAGTACTACCAAAAACAATAGTTTCGATTGCAATGATACTCATAATAATATTTTTACTAATGATAATAGTTTCGATTGTAATGCAACTAAGAATAAGGATGCTACTAATATTCTGAATAATAATTTTAGTGTACGTAAAAGAAGAACAATGAGATGCACACTATGAATAAGAAAACTACTAGTAACATGTGATATAATAGTACAAATAAGAATAACACTGATAACACGGGGAATAATAATAACGATAATAATACCAAGGAGAACAAGGCTACTTATACTCATATTAATAATAACAATAATACTAATAATAATAATAATACTAATAATAATCGTAGTACTCTCAGTAGTAACGCGAATCACAATAACAATACTATCAACACTAATGATAATAATACTACGATTACTAATACGGATAACCATCATAGTAATAATAGTGATAATGCTACTAATAAGACAATACTAGCAATGATAATGCGCATCCTTATTAAAATGTCAGAAACATTAGCACTAATAATAAACATAATACGAATACGAGGAGGAGGAAGAACAGGAGGAGGATGAGGAGGAGGAAGAGGAGGAGGAGGAGGAGGAGGAGGAGGAGGAGGAGGAGGAGGGGAGGGAGCAGGAGCAGGAGGAGGGGGGAGGGACGGGAGGAGGATGATGAGGAGGGAAGAAGAGGAGGAGGTGGAGGAGGAGGAGGAGGAAACGGAGGAGGAGGAGGAGGAGGAGGAGGAGGAGGAGGAGGACAAAGAGGAGGAGGAGGAGGAGGAGGAAGAACAGGAGGGGGAGGAGGAGGAGGAGGAGGAAGAGGGGGAGGAGGCGGAGGAAAAGGAGGAGGAGGAGCAGGAGGAGGATGGGGAGGAGGAGTAGTAATGGGAGATTTCATATCGTTTTGCAGAGATGTAGAGCTGGAGCGGCCGCACGGTTGCCGCGAAGCGGTGCTGTGAGCACGTATTGCGTCAACATCTGTGTGCAACCGTTGCTGCTCAAGCTCTGGGCCCCGCGGGCTCGCGCATGGAGGTGCTCCACACAGCGGTGTGGGAGCTGCTGCGGGGGGCCGGCCATGCCGCAGGCGCTGGTGTCATAGCGTACTCATCCTCGGCGGGCGTGAAGTGCCCCCCCTACGCGTGCTCGTGCGAGCCGCGCATCACCTGCCCGGGCGGCCACAGCTCGGAGAGCACGGTGACCGGGCTCACGCTGCCGGGCACCCTCGCTCTGGCGGTGGTGTCAGCCGCGGCCGGCGCCTGCTGCGTCGTGCTGACGCTGCGCCACAGCGGCGCGGGCGCGCAGCTGGCCGTGGACCCACCGCCCGCCCCGGGCGTGTTCGTGACCCCGATCGCGTCCCTGGAGGACATCGGTACCAAGCAGGCGCGTGAGACCCGCTCTCGCCGACTCGGCTTCCAGCAGTGATGGCGGCGCGCGTCGCCGAGTACCTTGCCAGCCTGGGGATCTCGCCGGGCGACTTCATCCTGGAGCGCTACGACATCCCTGGGCCAGAGGTCTGGCACGAGCGCATGGTGCTGATCGCGTCGCCTCATCGGACCGACCTCACGATCCTGACCCCCGATGGCGACTGCTACGAGGAGCAATTGTTCGCGGCAGGGGCCCCTGGTGCCGACATCGCGGCATGGCTGCCGAGCATCGGCGGTGCGATGGGAGCCGGCAACCCAGCGACAGGAGCGTCCCACATCCACCGCTTCCGCGCCGTGCCGGCTCCCGCCACCTGCGACGCCTTGCGCACGGCGGCCGAGGGCCGCCTCGGGCTCCCGCCAGGGCCGCGCGCGGTCCCCAACCTCGCCGGCCGCGCTGGCGTGGGGGCTCTCGGCGCGGGAGCGGGCGCGGCTGGCGCCGGCGCTCCCGCCGCGGGCGCGGTCGCAGGGGCCCCCGCTGCGGCTCTGCCAGCCGTCGCGCCCGGAGTGGCTCTGGGTGCCGGGCTTGGCGCCGGAGCGGCCGCGGGCGCTGCGCCTGCCGTGGGCGGCGTGCTGGTGGCGCCTCCAGTGGCCCCAGCGGTGGTTGCGGCGGCGCCGGCGCCCGCGGCGCCGATGGCGGTCGCCGCCCCCGCGGCGCCAGGGGCTGGCGTCGGCGGGCTCGCCGGCCTCGCTGCCGTGCTCGGCGGCCCCCCGGCGGCAGGCGCCGCCCCCCCCGTGCCGCCGCTGCTTGCGGCAGCGGCAGCCGCGGGCTAGGGGGCTGCGGGAGCCCCCCCCCTGGCCGCCCCCGCCGCTGTGCCGGGGGCTGGGGGCGGCGCTGCCGTCGCGCCGGCCGCGCCAGCCGCCGCTGCCGACGTGCGCGTCCTCGCGGTGAGCTACGACGTGCTGGGGCAGCGACATCGGGCTTTTCGGGAGGCGGCGCTGGCCATGGTGGAGCACCCGTGGCCAGACTGGCCCGTGAAGGGCCCACGGACGTGTCGGTGGGTCTTCCGCTTCATGGAGACCAACGGCGGGACACCGCTTGGGCGCCATGCCCGATGGCGCACCGAGGCCCGGCTGCACGCCTCGGAGTACGGCGTCGCCGAGCACGAGCGCGCGTGCAGGCTGATCGAGTTCATGACGATCTACGACCAACTGAACGTGGTGGACTTGGCGTCGGGCGAGCTGCTTGCCCGCGTCGTGCAGCTCCACGAGGAGCGGTACCGCGAGCGGCTGGCGCCAGAGACGAAGGACGACAACCTGGACACGCATCTGATCCTGGGCTGTGACCTGGTCCGCGGGAACATTTGCGTCTCGCCGCAGCTGGCGGAGCACCTGAAGGAGGAGCTCGCGAAGGAGTGGGCGGTGGAGCGCAGGAAGGCGCGCGAGGAGCGCGCGCTTGCGTCCAAGGGGAAGAAGGGCAACAAGAAGGGCCATCATGATGATGACGGGTGACCCCCTGTCGGCCGCTGGACCTGGGCAGCCAGCGGCCGCGCCGTCTCGCCCGCCAGTGGGCCCAGGTGCTCCCAGCCCCCTGTCCACGCAGTTTTGTGGCAGCTCGCCGTCGGGCGGTCGCCAGCGTGACCAGCTCTTCCTGTTGCGCCCGCGGGGCCTGGGCGCGGCCGGTCTCGGAGAGCCTTTCGAAGGCGCCAGGGGCGTGCTCGCGGCGTCGCTTGGGCCAGCGACGCCATCGCCGTCGTGAATTCGTTTTCTTCCCCTGGCGTCTCGCCGCCGGGCCCGTGCACATCGGCCCGGCGGAGCGCCTTGGAGCATGTGGCCGGGCGCTGCCGACGACTGTCCGAGCCGTCCGAGGAGCACCGGCTGCGCGAGGGGGCTCTCGGTGAGCTTCTCGCAGGATCGCCGCTGTACGAATCTGGCGGCCCCACTCGTCCTTATGCGAGGGACTCCGTCTCTTGGCCGAGCGCTGGACAGCACGCCGTGCCCCTGCAGGGCCTGCTTATCACGTCGGACACTTCGTGGCTTGAGGACTGGCACTTGAACGCGCTACGACCCGCTGCAGATGCTGTATCCTTTCTTCGGGGGGCCTGCCCTCGGGGGCCGCGCTTGCGCCCGATTTTGACTGGCTCGCCTTCTCTCTACTCCGACTTTTTGTCGCAGCTCTGGCGGCGCGATATGCTGACGTTCGTGGCCCACGACCCCTCCGTGAAGTGTTTGGGGGCCTTTTGCGTGGCCAAGAAGGACGGATCACTTCGGCGCATATTCGGCACTCGGACGGCGACCTGCTACTTCACAGGCGCCCCGTCCTCGCGGCTCCCCACCGCCTCGGCGTTCTCAAACCTCGAGGGGGAGGGCGGCCGGTGCTTGGTTGCCGCCGGCGACGCCGCCAGCGCCGTTTACCAGATGCGGATGCCCTCTGGCCAGGAGCGCAACTTCCGGCCCCCGCCGATCGACAGCTCCTTCCTTCGAGCCGCCGGCGTCCCCGACCTTCCTGATGGGGCGGTGCAGGGCTGCATCGCCGTCGCGCCGATGGGCTCCTCGTGGTCCATGCACCTGTGCCAGCGCGCGCTGAGGGCCGCGATCGACCGTGCCGGGGTGCCCAGCTCCTTGACCATAGAGGACGGGCGGCCGGCGGTGTCGCTCTCTCAGCCGACGGACGTCGGGAGCGCGGGGTGCGTGGACAACTACCTGGCCGTCGGTGCGAACACCATCCGCGTCGACGCTGTGGTCGACCAGGTCTTTGAGCCGCTCCAGTGCGTCGGGATCCACGTCCGCGACGCCGAGCGCGCGTCCGGCGACTGCGCCTTCCTCGGCCTAGAGCTGCGCGCCGGGCGGCGGCTCTCCGTCAAGGGGCGGAACGTTTGGCGCTTGCGGTATGCCGCCGAGGAGGTCCTGCGCCGCACGAAGGTGTCGGGCCACCCCCTTCGGATTCTCCCGGGGCACATCACGTGGACGTCCCTCTTTCGGCGAGAAGCCCTGGCCCTCCTCAACTCGGCCTACGCCTCCGTCGAGGTGAACGACGCTGCCATCCAGGAGCTCTGGCCCGCGGTCTGCGGGCGCTGTGGCGGGTGCGGTGTCTCCTGCCGCTGCTGGCGTGCGACCTGTCGGCCCCCTGGGGCAGCCGCGTCGCGTGCTCGGGCGCCAGCGGGCTCGGGCTGGGCGTGTGCCGCCGCCGGGCGCCGCGCTCTGAGATGGCTCGGATCGGGCGCCTCGGCGGGCGGTGGCGCTACGTCGCTGGCTGCGGCGCTGGTCGAGAGCTTCGCACCCTGCGGCGCGCTGAGCCTCCTGGAGCTGGCTGCCGCCCGCCCGGTGACGCAGGCGCGATACCTCACGCTCCTCAGCGTCTTCCTGGCCTTCTGCTCGGCCTTCCGCCTGGACTGGAGCTCGATGGCGGAGCCCGACGGGGCGACCACGGCATACTGGAACCGCGTGCTCCTCAATGCCGGGGTCCCCGGCATGGGCGCCCCGTCCTCAGCTGCGCCGGCCCGCTTCACGCCGGGCTTGGTGGGGGTCTGGGGGCTCATGCCGGGCGAGCCGAACCTGCGGGACGCGTCGATGCATTTCGACTTGGGCCCAGTCGTGCTGACGACCTTTGCCGCGCTGATGGCGGTCGCCGTCGCCACGCAGTCGCTCTGGGCCCTTGCCGTGATGCAGGGCTGGGCGGTGTTCAGCCGGTGCGCCGACGCCCTCAAGCAGGGCCCGCACGGCCCGACCCCGTACTCCCTGAGGCACAGGGGCGCGTCGCACGACACCCTGGCGCTGCGACGCCCCCTCGAGGGCGCCCAGCGCCATGGCCAGTGGGCGGTGCCGCCGAGCAGGAAGAGGTACGCCAAGGAGACGCACCTCCTGGCCCAGCTGGCACAGGTCCTGTGCTGGGCCCTTCACCTCGAGACGGTGGTGGAGGAGCACTCCGCGCGGATCCTCGAGCACTGCTTCGACGCGGAGGCGCTCCAGACGTTGCTGGGGCCCGCGGCGGCGCGCAGGGGGCCCGCCCGGCTGACCGCCGCGGCCGTGCCCTTGCTGCGCCAGCGGGCGTGCCTCCCCGGCGCGCGTGGAGCGCCACCTCCGAGGCCTGCTCGCAACTCAGCTGCGCCTCGCCACGCGGCGGCGGCACCAGGCCTTCCTGGAGCTCTTCGCCGGCTGCGGCCGCGTGTCGGCCGAACTCAGGGCCCTCGGGCGTGGCTGTGTCGCGCTGGACCTGGCCAGCGGTGCCGACGGGAACCATCTCGGCCGGCACTTCGAGCTCATGATTGCGGGGTGGCTGGAGGCCGGCATCGTCGCGGGCATCTTCCTCGGCACTCCCTGCGCTACCTGGTCTCGTGCGAACCGTTTCCCTATTCGATCGACTGAATCTCCCATGAGCATCCCTGTCCTCGCGACCGCGCAGCAGGCGCGGCTACAGCTGTGTAGTGACACGTTCAACTTTAGTTGCCGCATCATATCGCTTTGTAAGGCTCTAGGCGTGCCCTGCTTGCTAGAGAACCCACAGCCCTCAATCATCTGAGCCGCTCCTCGCCTGGCGCGCCTCATGTCGGATGCTTCGTGCACGTCGGCCTTTAGGCCACTTGTGCCAGTCTGGCGCCCAGTGGCGGAAAGCCGCGCGCACCGTGGGCTGGCCCGTCTCCGGCCTTGATGGTTTTGCAAAGAAGTGCTGTGGTCGTGGCAGCTTCTGCTCTAAGTCCGGTAAATATCACGCCGCCCTCTCCGACGCCGCCCCAGGGGCGCGCCAGTGGACATCCATCGCCGCCGAGTGCCCGAACATATTCGCTATAGTTCTTGCCTCTGCGTTGCTGGCCTCCGCCGTAGCGTGCCGCGACGTCAGGATGGGTCATCTGCTAGGAATTTGATTTGTGTTGATTGCGATCCCTGCGGGGCTTTCGGCCTCACGGCCAGTCCGACCTACGGGGTTCGGGAGCTGTCTGTCATTTTCGGCATGCCGGTCTACAGGCTGCCTGCGCCTCCCGAGCCGCCGCCGCGTCTGTTGGGCAGCCTCCGCCTTTCGAGCGCTGACACAAAACGCTGTATATCCTATATGCAGGCTGGCCGCCTCCCGAGCGTCGCAGTAGCTGCTTGGAGATTTCATATCGTTTTGCAGAGATGTAGAGCTGGAGCGGCCGCACGGTCGCCGCGAAGCGGTGTTGTGAGCACGTATTGCGTCAACATCTGTGTGCAACCGTTGCTGCTCAAGCTCTCCCGCCCGTTGCTGTCGCTTCTCTTTCCCCGCCCTCATCTCTGGAGGTGTCTGTCATTTTCGGCATGCCGGTCTACAGGCTGCCTGCGCCTCCCGAGCCGCCACCGCGTCTGCTGGGCAGCCTCCGCCTTTCGAGCACTGACACAAAACACTGTATTTCCTATATGCAGGCTGGCCGCCTCCCGAGCGCCGCAGTAGCTGCTAATAATATCACGCAAAAGAATAGGAGTACTAATGAGACTGAGCAGCATACTAGTAAGAAGAAGGCATGTGAATACTACGACGCATAACAGTTGTATGCTTTTGAAGAAGTTCAGTACTATTAGTATTACTACTAAGAACACCATGAATAGTGCTAACGATAGTAATGGTCATAACATGATGATAGTCATACTAAGGATAATATTCGGAAGCTGTGTTATGATAAGAATGTGGCGAACCATGGAACTGCTAACACCCATGATCATACTATGGACAAGAGTAAACACATTAATAAAACTACGGATACCAGGGCGACGCATTATACGAAACATACGAATAATATCATTACTGCGACTACTAAGACGAATGATAATACATCTGGTATTATAATTCTTAACGCAAGTACTATTAATACACATACTGATATTATTACTACTAATATTGTTACTCGGACGACTACTACTACTACTACTACTACCACCACTACTACTACTACTACTACTACTACTACTACTACTACTACTACTACTACTACTACTACCACTACCAGTACCACTACCACTACCACTACCACTACCACTACCACTACCACTACCACTACTAATACGACTACTACTACAACTACTGATACTACGAATGCGCATGCTGACAATCATATTGTTACGAGTACGAATACAAATGCTAAAACAAATACTAATACTACTGCTATTCGTAATACTGCTACCACTACTACTATTTTAACTACAACTACTACTACTATTACTACTACTACTACTATTACTACTACTACTACTACTACTACTCCTACTACTACTACTACTACTACTACTACTGCTGCTGCTGTTGCTACTACTACTACTACTACTACTTCTAGTAACACTCATACTATCACAACCAATGTTTATACTGACACGACCACTACTACTACTACTACTACTACTACTACTACTACTACTACTACTACTACTATTACTACTACTACTGTACTACTACTACTACTACTACTACTACTACTACTACTACTACTACTACTACTACTACTACTACTACTACTACTACTACTACTACTACTACTACTACTACTACTACTACTACTACTACTACTACTACTACTAGTACGGCTACTGGTACTAATAGGAAAGCCAATTCTAATACGAATGGTATTGTATTTCGTACTAACATATCAACCAATAGTTCTCATCCTCATACTACGATTAAGACTAATAATCATACGAATCATACTGCTAATGCGCATAAGCAAACTGATAATAACACTCTCTTGAGCATACTAAGAACACTAAAGGTACACATATTTCTAAGAAGAAGAGGAGGAGGAAACGGAGGAGGAGGAGGAGGAGGAGGAGGAGGAGGAGGAGGGAGGAAAAGGAGGAGGCGGAAACGGAGGCGTAGGCGGAGGAGGAGGAGGAGGCGGAGGAGGGTGGGGGAGGTAGGAGGGAGGAGGGGGGAGGGAGGAGGGCGGAGGAGGGAGGGAGGAGGGAGGAGGAGGAGGAAGGAGGGAGGAGGGAGAAGGGAGGAGGGAAGAGGGAGGGAGGGATGAGGAGGAGGGAGGAGGGAGGCAGGGAGGGAGGGAGGGAGGGAGGGATGAGGAGGAGGAGCAGGAGGGAGGAGGAGGATGAGGAGGAGGAGGAGGAGGAGGAGGACCAGGGGCAGCTGGAGGAGGAGGAAAAGGAGGATGAGGAGGAAGAGGAGGAAAAGGAGGAGAAGGAGGAGGAGGAGGAGGAAGAGCAGGAGGAGGGGCAGGATGACCAGACTTAAGGTGAGATGTGCCAGCGATGCCGCAAGGCATCCCCCCGTCCCATGCGTCTGCACGCTCGTTCTCTCTGACTCTGCCCCGAACGCCACCTCGAAAGACCAGGGACCCATGGGCCCGCCACTCTAGCGGGAGCTGTATCTTGAAACCAGAGCTGCACACCATCCGTCGAGCAGTGGGAGACGTCACGCGGCGGGAGGAGCAAGTCCCGTAGATTCGCAGCTCCCCACACATTGGAGCGGGCGGTTCTTTGGGCGTCTTCGGTCTTTGGGGGCCCTCGCCAGGCCCTGGGACCGTCAATAAACAGACTCTGGTCGAGCAGACGGCCCGGGAGAAGTGGTCCAGACCTCTGGGGCCCACACATCGAACAAATCGGAGCAGCCTGATGTCTGGGGAGGAGAGCGACAGCCCCGCTCTGAGGAGGAGCCGCTTTCCACGCGTGCAGCCGTCGCACAGCTTAAATGGACGAAGGAACAACACGCGCCCATACCCACAGGGAGGTCGGAGGGAGGAGGACTGGCTATGGGTGTGGGTGCGGGTTGTCGGAAATCTGGGTGGGCTCGCGTTCGAGCGTGAACCCCCATCCGACAAAACGCGCACGTAGCCCCGTTCCTCCCCCTATGGGTACGGGTGTGTGTGTGTGTGTGTGTGTCGTTCGGTCGTCAAACTTGATCATGCCATACTATTATATAAGCGCCGAGCAGCACGACCCGTCCGAGCAATGCGACGGCGATCACCATGACTAAGTGCAGCCCTGGCGCCGAGCCGCAGCACAACAGTGGCATCCAGGTCCGGGGAGCGCTGGGTTGCGAGCTGCGCTGCTATGCGAAGTACGTCGGCTGGAATGGCCCCACGTCCTGCCCAAACAGGCGTCCAGGATCACAACACGAGCGGTGAGCTGGCCAGTGCGAGAGTCGGTAAGCTGGTCGGCGCAGGAGTCGGCGAGCTGGCCGGCGCGGGAGACGGTGAGCTGGTCGGCAGGGGGTCGGTGCGCTGGCCGGTGCTGGAGTCAGTGAGCTGGTCGACGCGGGAGTCGGCGAGCTGGTCGGCGCGGGAATCGGTGAACCGGACGGGCAGGGGATAGGTGAGGTGGTCGGCGCTGGAGTCGGCGAGCTAGTCGGCGCGGGAGTTTTTGAGGTGGTCGGTGCGGGAGCCGCCAAGCTGGTCGATGCTGGGGACAGCGGCATGGTCGGCGCCTGAATCGGTGAGCTGGTCGGCGAAGATGTCAGCGAACTGGTCGGCGAGGGAGTGGGCGAGCTGGTCGGCGCGGGAGTCGGCGAGCTGGTCGGCGCGGGAGTCGGCGAGCTGGACGGTTTCATCCGGCTGGCATTCGAATTCCTGCTCGGAATTGTGGCGGTCGTCGCCGTGGAGGCTCAGCGATGTCATGGAATACCCCTTCCTGGTCGTGTTGTGGACGCCGCTGATGGTCCTGGTCGTGGCGGTCGCAGTGGCGCCGCCGGTGGCACTGGGACGCCTGTGCGCGGCGCTGCGGGCCCCAGCCAGGGGCCATTCCAGCCGACGAACTCCTCATAGCAGCGCAGCTCGCAACCCAGCGCTCCCTGGACATGGATGCCACTGTGGTTCTGCGGCTCGGCGCCAGGGCTGCACTTAGTCGTGGTGATCGCCGTCGCATTGCTCGGACGGGTCGTGCTGCTCGGCGTCGGGCCGCTGCTGCCTGTCGTGCTGCACTGAGTCGGAGCGCTGGAGCCCGTCGTGCTGCCCAGCGTCGTGATGTTGGTATCCGCGAGGCCTCGCAGACCTAATGCTGATCGCCTTCGCGCTGCTGGAACTGGCGCTGCCCACCCTCGAGCTGCCGATGCCCGACGTGTTGCTGAGCATCGTGCTGTTGCAGCCCGTCGTCGCACTGCACAGTGGTGTCGCGATGCTGGAATCGGTCGGGCGCCGGACTCCTCAATATTGGAGTCGCGAGTGAGCAACGCCTTCTGAGAACGTGGATGCCGCCAGACGCGTGCATTTTGGATGGGGGGCGTTAACCCAGTCGGAGGTTCTTACAGCTTGCGTGCATGAGGATGTGAGGACAATATAGTTTGTACCACATAGCGCCAAGGTTAGTCCAGGCTCGCACTGGAGGAGCAGCGCGAGTGAGGCCGGCAGTGCGGATGTGATCCCTAGTTTTCTTCCCCCTTCTTTTCCCTGCCTGCTGTTTTCTCCCTTCGTCTCTTTAATTGGCGCATGGGGCACTCAGTGCATGCAGGTGCTGCTGCTGGTGGACCGTTGGCCGCCCGGTCCTACGAGTCGCTCCCGTAGGGGGCCGCTTCTGGCCCGCGCTGCCGCCGTCGCTGGCGGGTCTCCTTGCGGCCGTGCCGCACCCGCCCAATTAGCTTTTATAGTGCTGTATCTCTCGTGAGCGATTCTCGCCCACCAGTGCCTTCGCGTCTTGACTCGACGCTTTCACTTTACTCCGCGTTCGCACGCGGCACCAGAGGTGTTAACGAATCGTCCCCCCCTCCTGCTGCGCCTCGTTCTCTGCTTGTCCTCCTCCTCCTCCTCCTCTTCCCCTGCCTCCGCTGCAGTGCATGATCGGATCAACTGGAATGCAGTTGTCAGCTTTCTCGTCTCACGATTTGCTATACTTCACTCGCACTGTCGGTAGCTGTGCTTTCGTTCGGCCTGGGGGCCGATTGCTTCTTGTGTGAGTTTGCGTGTTGGTGCATGGGACTCTTATATGAGTGCTGGTCTGTATTCACCACCCACCAAACCACCCCAACCCAACCCGAAGGCCCGAATTTGCCCTCCATTTCCAGTTGGGGGGGGTCGGGGAACGTCGAGAAAACACACCTGAAGCCCGTACCCCCCCAACCCGAAATTCGGGTCTTCGGGTTGGGTTGGGGTGGTTTGGTAGGTAGTCATATATGAGTGATTGTTCGGATCATGGGGACATTCACTCACAACGCTTTGATACATCCATCCCTTCTCCTCTCCTTCTTCAGCGTTGACCTTGTAGGGTAATCGACAGGTGCCGCCGCAGCCGTGTTACTCAAGACAGGTTTTTTCCTTGATGTCCTCGTCCGCGATGCTCAGGTGTGACAGTGCCATGCTGCTGGCCAGAAGAGTTGCAGGCGAGATCTCGATATTGGACAGGTAGCGCCCTCCGTGCGTGGAGTCTTCGTGCCGCTGCAGCCTCGGCGCACGTAGCAGGCGAGAGTTTCATGTTGGAAATCTTCGCGCAGCTGTCACCTCGAAGCACTTATCAGGCCAGAGCTTCATTTTGGAAGTCGTCGCGCAGCTTTCACCTCGAAGCTCGTAGCAGGCGAGAGCTTCATTTTGGAAGTCTTCGCGCAGCTGTCGCCTCGAAGCACGTAGCAGGCGAGAGTTTCCTTCTGAGAGCGACGTGCCCTCAGTCCGTGCCGCGGGTCTCTCCTGCCAGACGGCTTGGTCGCGGCGCCGCGGCGAGAGCTCTGTTTTTTTGAGCGCCGCCCGCCCTGCCCTCCACCCGTGCAGCTCTTGGAGACACGTGAGGCTGCAGTGTCGCAAGCAGGCCGAGAGGTCTCGGGCGAAACGCCCGCCCGGCTTCTCGTTCTCCTCCTCCTCCTCCTTCCTCCGCCCTTCTCTTTCCTGCTTCTTCCTTCCTCCTTTTCTTCCTTCTCCTCCTCCTCCTTCCTTCTCCTTCCTCCGCCCTCTCTGCCCTTTTCCTTCCTCCGCCCTCCTTCCTCCTTCTCCTCCTTCCTCCCTCTCCTCCTTCCTCCTCCTCCGTCCTCCCCTTCCCCTTCGCCTGCACTCCAGCGCGCGCCCACCAGCGCGCCCCCTTCTCTTCGCGCGCGCGCCAGGAAGCGCGAGCGTCGGATGGGGAGGAGAACGGGTTGGAGAAAGAGGAGGTGGAGCAGGCCGAAACAGGATTCTGACTCTATTTTGGCTTTCGTGGGGCTCCGGTGTTGGGGGGTGGGGATGCCCTCGCCGCTGCCGCTGGGTCCGCTTCGAGGTCCTCGTCACAGGTTCTAGGGCCGATTTTGAGGCAGACGTCGTCGCCGCTCGTCGGCGGTCGTTGGCGCCCGTCGTCTGCGTCGGCGTCATCGTCGTCTCTCGCCGCTCGTCGTTCGTTGTACCTCGTCGTGCCTCGTCGTCCGATGAGGCACGACGGGGCACGACGCGAGGCGCGACGCTCAGCCGACGGAGGCCTCTGCCTTTCTGGCGCGGGCCCACCCGTGTGCCGCAAGCAATGGCGTGCGCGCCAGGCTTCGGCTCCCCCCGCGCCCCCCGCTCCCCTGCGCGTGGCCGACCCCGCGGAGCGGGGGGGCGAGGGGTAGGGTGGTGAGGAGGTGGGCGAGGATGATAACGAGTACGTAGGGTGAGGAGGAGGATGAGGAGGAGGAGGAGGACTTAGGAGGAGGAGGAGGAGGGGGAAGGTAAGGAAGGGGAGGAGGAGAAGGAGGAGGAGGAGGAGGAGGACGCAGGAGGAGGAGGAGGAGGAGGAGGAGGAGGAGGAGAAACGAGGAGGAAGCAGAGGAGAAGCAGAGGAGCAGCAGCACACGAGGAAGCAGGGGAGAAGGAGGAGGACGAGCAGGAGGAGAGGAGGAGGAGGAGGAGGAGGAGGAGGAGGAGGAGGAGGAGGAGGAGGAGGAGGCCGAGGAGGAGGAGGAGGAGGAGGAGGAGGAGGAGGAGGAGGAGGAGGAGGAGGATAGGGATAGGAAGGAACCAGAGGTGGTCTCTAGAAGGCCACTCCTGCGCGTGGCCGCCCCTCTCAGCCCGCGCCCGTGCCTGCCAGGGGCGCCTCGCGGCGCGCCTCGCCAAAGCTGGGCCCTGGCGTGCCCGAGGGAGCGTGCCAGATCGCGACGGAGGCCCCCCTCACGCGGGTGCGGCGGCCCGGGGGCAAGGAGCCGAAGCAGAAACAACGCCATACACAGAAACTTTTTGGCGCTCCGCGCGGATTTTTGGGATCCGCTCTGGGCTCCCCCGGCGGCGCCTCCGGCCCCGCCCCTGGCGCTCTCCGCGCGCCAGGGAGGGGTCTGGCGCGGATCCAAGAAATCCGCGCGGAGCGCCAAAAGTTTAACGTTTATGTTGTTTTTCTTCTTCTACGGAGGAATGCAGGGCTCACCTCGACGCCTCCGACTCGATTCGATTCAGTTTCGATGGCTTCCGATGCCGATTCGATTCGACTCGGGATTTCGGTGTGGGCTCCGATGTCTCAATGGGCGAGAACGGCGGTCTGGCGGCCACCCAAAGAGCCTGGGCTGCAATTTTTTCAAAACGGGCGTTTTCGCCAGATTTCAGGCCCCCGGGCCCTCACATATCGATCCGGCCCGAAAAATTGTGCAAAATGACGGGGTCCGGGGCTCCAGTCGTGATTTTTCTGGAATCCAGCCCCGTGGCTGAGACGGCGCACGTCCGGAGAAGCGCACCCAACGGTTGTAGATTCGGCCCGGACGCCTGAGACGTCAGCTCGGCCCCAAGACTACGTTCGCTATGACGAAAGCAATCGTCGATTCAGCTCCACCATTTCGTTGGTCAGGACGTCGGATCGCAGGGAAGGGCGAGAGGGGCGGTGCGGCAGCCAGAGCGAGGAGGAGGAGCCTGGGAGGGCCCAGGCCTCCCAGATGGGGCTCAGAGGGTCGCGCCGCATCGCCGATGCATCGGCGACGCGGCGCGATGTGGAGCCCGATGTTCGCCGCGTCGACGTCGCCGATGCATCGCCGAGGCCGCCGATGCATCACCGATGCATCGGCGATGCGGCGCGACTCTCCGATCCCATCCACTGGGACCCCATGTGGGAGGCCTCTGGAGCGCGACGGGGCGAGGGCGGCGGGGGCGACGGCGGCGGCGGCAGGGAAGGCAGCGAAGGCGACGTGGGCGCGCGCAGATCGCGGCGGAGGCTCTGGGCGTGCTGGCGGCCGAGGACGACGGGGAGTGGCGGCGACGGCTCGCCAAGCCCCCCAGGGGGATCGGATTGTCCAGCACATGTGCAACGACGCTCGACACTCAATCGTCGATTGACGACGGCGTCGGCGACAGCGGTTGCGACGGCGACGGCGAACGACGACGAGCGACGACGACAACGGCGGTTGATGGTCGACGAGGACGGCGACAAGCGACGATGTCGTCGACGGCGACGACGTTCGAGAAGCCTCCTGGAGTCCCAACGAGATCGACACGTGATTATGAAAGGGCGCGTTCTGTGGACGTTGGGAAGTGTAGGAAGGGTTCGAGCCGTCTCCCCCCGGAATTGCAAGGGTGGGAGGAGGGTTCGAACTGGGGGGCAGCCCCACTCAAAAGGGGGGGGGGGGTCGAACCGGGCGGAGGCGGAGGCGGAGGCGGAGGCGGAGGCGGAGGCGGAGGCGGAGGCGGAGGCGGAGGCGGAGGCGGAGGAGGAGGAGGAGGAGGAGGAGGATGAGAAGGAGGAGGAGGAGGAGGAGGAGGAGGAGGAGGAGGAGGAGGAGGAGGAGGGAGGAGGGAGGAGGGGGGAGGGAGGGGGGGGCCCTGAATTTTAAGGGGGGGTTCGAACCGCCCCCCACCCTCGCCTGTGGCAAACGACGACGGCGAGCGCCGGCGCAGGCCCCTGCGCTGTCGGGCAGCGACGACGACGATGACGACGACGACGACGACGACGACGACATCGACGACGACGACGACGACAACGACGACGACGACGACAGCGACGGGCGACGACGACGACGACGACGGCGTCGACGGAGGCGACGACGACGGCGACGGCGACGGCGACGACGACGACAACGACGACAACGGTCGAGCCGTAGTAGGATCTGTCAGAGATGGGTCGACCCTCAGAAGGAGTTCCGTAGAGCTGGATCGAGTCCTCGTAGGATCCATTTAGATTTGGACCCGTGTCTAGTGGGATTTCATTAGAGCTGCATCCAGCCCTGGTAGCATTCTAATAGAATTGGATCGAACCGCAGTAGCATTCTATCAGAGCTGGATCGAGCCTTAACAGGTTTCCATCAGAGCAGGATCCTGCCCTGATGGGATTCGACTAAAAGCTGGATCGAGCCCTCTTAGGATACTTTTATTGTGTTGGATCGAGACCTCGTCGGATTCTGCTCCTGCTGGATCCAAATCTGGTAGGATGCCATGGATGCTGGGTAGAGCCCTTGTTGCTGGGTCGAGCCCTTGTACTCATTGTGCTAGAGCTGGGTCGAGCCTAGGCACGTTTCTGCCAGAGCTGGACCGACCCTGGAGGGATTCTATGTTAGACGCTTTGTGTTAACCCTGCCAGCCCATCCAGAAACGATGCACACCCGATCAGGCATGCGTGGGATCACGCCGTGGAAGGACGGCTGGGAAGCCGTCGTGCCCTAAGAAGGGGCAGGATGGATGAGGAGGGGCAGGAGGAGGCGAATGACGAGGAGGAGGAGGAGGAGGAGGAGGAGGAGGAGGAGGAGGAGGAGGAGGAGGATCAGGAGGGGGAGGGGGGAGGCTGCTGAAGGGAGGAGGGTGGAGGATTAGGCGGATGAGGATGAGGAAGAGGAGGAAGGCGGCTAGGAAGGCCAGAGCCTCTTGGATGCTTCTCGGACTCTCTACGGATGTCTCGAGAGCTTCTTGCAGGCCTGGTAGGGCGTCCTGCGGTATTCGCATGCGCCCGCCCCGCCTATTTCCGCACACCCCTCACACGTTTCGTGGTCCCAACGGGAGCGCCATCGAAGGCCCCAGCGGCGGTGTTCGCATGCGCCCGCCCCGCCTATTTCCGCACACCCTTCACACGTTTCGTGATCCTATAGGGAGCTCCACAGGAGGCCCCAGTGGTGGTGTTCGCATGCGCCCGCCCCGGCTATTTCCGCACACCCATCACACGTTTCGTGGTCCCACAGGGAGCGCCATCGAAGGCCCCAGTGGCGGTGTTCATGCGTCCGCCCCCCCCCTTTCGGCTCACCTCTCACACGTTTCGTGGCTATGGAGGTCCACCGAAGACGGTACTCACAAGTGCGTGATTCACAACTGCATATGGTTGGTTCTTTCGCCAGGCTAATTTCTTTGGGGGGCCGGGGCGGTTCCGACGTGTCGCAGGATGTTTCCCAAGCAAACGTCCACGGAACGTGTTCTCTCAACAGGATGTAAATACCGTGATCCTCTAATTCCGATCTGGCAACCATGGGCCCCCCTGAGGGCCAAACGAGGCCTTGTATCCCAAGTCCCTGCACGACGACGACGACTAGCGACGGCACGACGACGCCCGAGAGACTAACATATCGACGACCACTGGCGTCCGACGTACGACGACGCCCGAGAGGCCCACATGCGACAGCGACGGCGGCGACGACGGCGAGAGGCCGACACAGCGCACGACGGCGACGGCCCCGAGAACGACGAGCGACGAGCGACGATGCCGACGCTGCCGACGCTCGAGAGGCCGACGTGGCGCACGGCGACGGCGAAGACGCCGCGAGGCCGACGCGGCGCACGACGACGGCGACCACGACGACCAAGACGAGCGGCGAGCGAGGAGGAGGAGGAGGAGGAGGAGGAGGAGGAGGAGGAGGAGGAGGAGGAGGAGGAGGAGGAGGAGGAGGAGGAGGAGGGAGGAGGAGGAGGAGGAGGGGAGGAGGAGGAGGAGGAGGAGGAGGAGGAGAGGGAGGAGGAGGAGGAGGAGGAGAACGCGCCCGAGGCCGACATAGACTTCCAGCTCTCCGGCGGGGAGCCGCCCGCCGCCTCGCCGCCGCCCGGGGCGCCGGCGCCCGCGGCGAGCCTGGAGACCGCCGCGTCGTCGTCGCCGCCGTCGCCGCCCGCCGCCGCCGCCGTCGCCGCCGTCGCCGCCCGCCGCCGCCGCCGCCCGCCGCCCGCCGCCGCCGCCGCCGCCGCCGTCTCGTCGTCGTCGGCGTCGTTGTCGTCGTCGTCGTCCGTCGTTGCCGCCGCCGCCGTCGTCGTCGTCGTCGTCGTCGTCGTCGTCGTCGTCGTCGTCGTCGTCGTTCGTCGTCGGCGTCGTCGTCGTCGTCGTCGTCGTTTGTCGTCCGTCGTCAGCGTTGTCGTGCTTCGGAGGCCGGCGGGAGCCTCCTGGAACTCCTGGAACTCCTGGAACTCCGCCGTTGCCCAGGGGCAACGTTAGGGGTGGAATAGGCTCACGGGGGGTCGGAGAAGAACAAACAGCATACGGTCGGACCGTGGTCAGAGTGAGGGAGCCGAGCAGTTCTTCGTTGTCCCTGGGCGCGAGGCTGAATTGAGGTTCTGTGGTGCGGATTGTTGTTGTTGTTGTTGTTGTTGTTGTTGTTGTTGAACATTATTTATTCTAAAGAATAATTATTGTTGGGCCCCCTGGTGCGCGCCCCCCCTGCGCCGCCTAGGCCGCAGCTACATTTTCATCATTTTCGTGAGGAAGCCTCAGAAAAGAGGGTGTGTACAGGATCCGGTTGTTTTGTTGTAATCCGCTTTCCCTTGCAAAAAACAATAGAAAATGACATTTCTTGTTCTAATATAATCAAATTTCAAGAATCCCTTGCAAAAAATAAGGTAAAGTGGACATTCGCGCGCGCAAGACGAAATCCTTCCAAAACCTTAGTGTTCGCAGCGATTTTAACATAAAAACATCAAAAAACCAATGGTTTTTCAACAAAAAATTGTCAAAATCTCATCCCGCGCGCTCTTGCGGATTCGTAGGAAACCCAACACTTTTTAAACATTTCTGTCAAACTTTTTTCGGAGCACAACCATCAGGACAACCATCGGGACAATCATCGGGACAACGATCGGGACAACCACAACCATCAGGACAACCATCGGGACAACCATCGAGACAACCATCGGGACAACCATATCCTCTCTCTCTTGTGTATTCCCACATCCCTCAGGAATTTGCCCTAAAGATGTGATCAACTATCTTGTGAGTACGTATCATGTGTATCATGTGTATCATGTACCATATGCATCATATGCAACAGATGTTCTGTGGAAGGCTTAACAACTTCTGTGGGTTAACAAGGCTTAACAACTTCTGTGGGTGTACGAACGTAGGCTTAACAACTTCTGTGGGTGTGTACTCCACGCCAGTGTAGTAGCCACGGTCGTCCGCAGGCCACGAAGTGAAGTGTCCGAACGTCATAGGGCGGGAAGCTGGGTGTGGGTGGTGGCGAAGAGTCGTGTGGATATTTGGTAGAGCTTGCACTGCCCCCCCACAAAGTGGGGGTATTGGCTGGCGTCGCATGAAAACCCTGGCACTGGTGAGAACACTGAGCGTTCGGGTAAAGTGATTGTTGTTGTTGTTGTTGTTGTTGTTGTTGTTGTTGTTGTTGTTGAACATTATTACTTCTAAAGAATAATTATTGTTGGGGCCCCTGGTGCGCGACCCCCCCGCCGCGCCTAGGCCGCAGCTCATTTTCATCATTTTCGTGAGGAAGTCTCAGGCAAAACGGGTTGGTCCGGATCCGGTTGTTTTGTTGATCGGTTTTCCCTTGCAAAAAACAGCTAAAAATGGACATTTCTTGTTCTAACATAACCAAACTTCAAGAATCCCTTGCAAAAAATAAGGTAAAGTGGACATTCGCGCGCGCAAGACGAAATCCTTCCAAAAGCTTAGTGTTCGGAGCGATTTTAACATAAAAACATCAAAAAACCAATGGTTTTTCAACAAAAAAATGTCAAAATCTCATCCCGCGCGCTCTTGCGGATTCGTAGGAAACCCAACACTTTTTAAACATTTCTGTCAAACGGGCTTTTGCGAGCAACTTTTTCGAACTTCTGCGACAACGGTTGCGCACCTGCCAGGGCCATCATCCCTGTCAAATAATACCATGCGGGACACATTCGTTTTTTCTTCGCGCGCGCACGCCGTCGTCGTCGGCCGCGGGGCCCTGAATAGTAGCCACGGTCGTCCGCATGCCACGAAGTGAAGTGTCCGAACGTCATAGGGCGGGAAGCTGGGTGTGGGTGGTGGCGAAGAGTCGTTTGGAAATTTGGTAGAGCTTGAACCGGCCCCCCCACAAAGTGGGGGTATTGCCCGCCTCCTATGAAAACCCTGGCACTGGTGAGAACGGTGTGTCCCCACGTGCTAGTAATTGTTGTTGTTGTTGAACATTATTCCTTCTAAAGAATTATTATTGTTGGGACCCCTGGTGCGCGACCTCTGCGCCGCGCCTAGGCCGCAGCTACATTTTCATCATTTTTTCGCGAAAGCTTCAGAAAAGTGGATGAGCTCCGGATCCGGTTTTTTGTTGACGCTCGTTTTCCCTTGCAAAAAACAATAGAAAATGAAAATTCTTGTTTTTACTTGATCAAATTGCAAGAATCCCTTGCAAAAAATAAGGTAAAGTGGACATTCGTGCGCGCAAGACGAAATCCTTCCAAAACCTTAGGTTTCGTAGCGATTTTAACATAAAAACATCAAAAACCCAATGGTTTTCTCAGAAAAAATTGTCAAAATGTCCTTCCGCGCGCTCTTGCGGATTCCTAGGAAACCCACCAGATTTTAAACATTTCTGTTAAAAGGGCCTTTGCGAGGAACCTTTTCAGGTGCTTCGACCTTCTGCAACAACGGTTGCGAGCCTACGAGGGCCACCATCCCTTGCAAAAAATGACACGAAGTGCACATGCGCGCGGCCGCCGCGCGCGCGTGCCGAAATCCTGCCAAACATAATGTGATTTCAATAATTTCAAGATGCGATGTTCCGAAAACATATGCAAACGCAAGACTTTCTCATCCGAAAAATATCAAAATCCACCCGCGGGCTCTTCACGAATCTTTAAAACCCAAGATGGCCCCAAGAGGCGCTCAAGATGGCCCCAAGAGGCGCCCATGAGGCCGCAAGAGGCGCCCAAGATGGTCCCAAGATGCCCCAAGAGGACTCCAAGAGGCCCCCAAGAGGTTCCAAAGAGGCTCCAAGTTGGCTCCAACAAGCATCGGGATAACGATCGGGACAACCATAACCATCAGGACAACCATCGGGGCAACCATCGAGACAACCATCGGGACAACGATACCTTCTCTCTTGTGTCCTCCCACATCCCTCAGGAAGTTGCCCTAAAGATGTGACCGACTCCTCTCTCTCCTTCTCTCTGTCTCTCGCTCTTTCTCTGCTTCATATCTATCATACGTAACACATCTACTTGTGTAATCGCCTTCCCAGGAATTTGCCTCAAAAATGTGACCAACTATCTTGGCACTGCGTACCATCTCACGTGTACCGTGTACCACATCTTCTCAGGTTGCCTCACACATGTGACGAATCTCTTTCTATCTCTCTCTCCACTGGCTCTCTGTCTTGCTCTCTCTCTCTCTCTCTCTGTCTCTCTGTACTATGTATGTCATACGCAACAAATGCACCATGCGGGGCACATGCGGGGCCCAAACAAGTGATCAACCTCTGCGGGTGTGTACTCCACGCCAGTGTAGTATCCACGATCGTCCGCGCGCCACGAAGTGAAGTGTCCTGACGTCATAGGGCGGGAAGCTGGGTGTGGGTGGTTCCCGAGAGTCGTGTGGATGTTTGGTAGAGCTTGCATTGCCCCCCCACGAAGTGGGGGTATTGGCTGGCGTCGCATGAAAACCCTGGCACTGGGGAGAACACTGAGCGTTCGGGTAAAATGATTGTTGTTGTTGTTGTTGTTGTTGTTGTTGTTGTTGTTGTTGTTGTTGTTCCCCACATGCTTAGTGGGGTTATGGTTTTCTTCCCTCCCGCGTCGCACCCGCGACGCTCACACCTCACCTCCCTCCTCCCCTCCTCCTCTTCCTCTGCTCCCCTCCTCCTCTTCCCCTCCTCCACTTCCTCGACACCACAGGGGGTGCGCTGGGGTGGTCTTCCTCCGATTCGGACTCGCAAAGTGTGGCAGGCGTGGCACTTCCTCGACACCACACGGGGAGCGCTGGGGGTGGCCTCCTATCCGTTTCGGGCTCGCAAAGCTTGGCAAACGTGGCGACCCCACAGGGGGTGCGCTGGGGGTGGTCATCCTATCCGTTTCGGGCTCGCAAAGCGTGGCAGACGTGGCACTTCCTCGACACCACAGGGGGTGCGCGTGGAGTGGTCTCCCTACCCGTTTCGGCTTCGCAAAGCGTGGCAGGCGTGGCACTTCCTCGACACCACAGGGGGTTCGCTGTGGGTGATCTCCCTGTCCGTTTCGGCCTCGCAATGCGTGGTAGGGTGCGCTGGGGGTGGTTTCCCTATCCTTTTCGGACTCGCAAAACGTGTCAGGCGTGGCTTCTTCTCGACACCGCAGGGGATGCGTTGGGGGTGGTCAGCCTATCCGTTTCGGCCTCGCAAAGCGTGTCAGGCGTGGCTTCTCCTTGACACAACAGAGGGTGCGCTGGGGGTGGTCTCCCTATCCGTTTCGGCCTCGCAATGCGTGGTAGGCGTGGCACGTCCTCGCCACCACACGTGGAGCGCTGGGGGTGGTTTCCCTATCCGTTTCGGGCTCGCAAAGCGTGGCAGACGTGGCACCTCCTCGACACCACAGGGGGTGCGCTTGGGGTGGTCTCCCTATCCGTTTCGGCCTCGCAAAGCGTGGCAAGCGTGGCACTTCCTCGACACCACAGGGGGTGCGCTGAGGGTGGTCGCCATATCCGTTTCGGTCGTCGCAACGCGTGGTAGGCGTGGCACTTCCTCGACACCACAGGGGGTGCGCTGGGGGTGGTCTCCTCATCCGTCCCGGGCTTACAGAGCGTGGCAGGCGTTGCACTTCCTCGACACCACAGGGGGTGTGTTCATCCATTCATCCATCCTCGACGCCACCGTGGAGGAGGAGCCTGAAGAACATTCGCACTGAAGTTTCGGAAAGGGCAGGATGTGGCATGGGGCATGGTGTATGAACACACGACAAAACATCAGTATGTGGGGTTCTTCGGTAGCGTAAGTGTTGTGGTTGTTGTTGTTGTTGTTGTTGTTATCGTTGCTGTTGTGGTTAGCGCTGTTGTTGTGGTTGTTGTTGCTGTTGTAGTTGCAGATGCTATTGTTGTTGCTGCTGTTGTTGCTGTTGCGGTTGCTGTTGCTGTTGCTGTTGCTGTTGTTGTTGTTGTTGTTGTTGTTGTTATTGTTATTGTTGATGTTGTTGAAGTTGTTGTTGTTGTTGTTGTTGTTGTTGTTGTTGTTGTTGTGGTGGTGGTGGTGGTTGTTGTTGTTGTTGTTGTTGTTGTTGTTGTGGTTGTTGTGGTTGTTGTGGTTGTTGTTTTGTCGTTGTGCTTTTTCCAGCCATGCTGTGGTGCTGGGTCCTTGTTTTGAAGAGACGGTCCCCGCGTCTCCTCCTCCCGCCGCCCCCCCTCCCAGTGGGGGTGGCCACATGCGTCCGCCACACCCAGTACAGCGTTTCGTGGCCCCACAGGGAGCTCCACCTGAGGCCCCAGTGGGGGTGGCCACATGCGTCCGCCACACCCAGTACTGCGTTTCGTGGCCCCACAGGTAGCTCCACCGAAGGCCCCAGTGGGGGTGGCCACATGCGTCCGCCACACCCAGTACAGCGTTTCGCGGGCTCCTAGGGAGCCCCACCTAAGGGCTCAGTGGGGGTGGCCACATGCGTCCGCCACACCCAGTACAGCGTTTCGTGGCCCCATAGGGAGCTACATCGAAGGCCCCAGTGGGGGTGGCCACATGCGTCCGCCACACTAGGGTTTAGGGTTTAGGGTTTAGGGTTTAGGGTTTAGGGTTTAGGGTTTAGGGTTTAGGGTTTAGGGTTTAGGGTTTAGTTTTGTTGCAGTTGTTGTTGTTGTTGTTGCTGCTTCTGCTGCGTTTGTTGTGGTGATTGTCTTTGGCGTTGTGGTTGTCGTTGTCGGTGTCGTTGTTGTAGTTGTTGATGTTGTTGCTGTTGCTGTTGTTGTTGCTGCTGCTGTTTTGAGTTTTCATTGCCGAAGAATAATTATTGTTGATCCTCCCCCTCTGGTGCACATTGTATTTTTCAATTGAAGTGCCCTTCCTGGCGCTCGCACCCTGTTTTTTTATCGGGCAAAGTCTTTTTTCTCAAACTGTGTTGCCGGCCCGCGGTTTACATCAACAACTGCTCCCGCTTGATACTTCCTCAAAATTTACTATGGTCCCCCGCTCCCGCTGGAGACTTCCTCGCAATTTACTCAAGAATCGCGCTCCCGCCTGAGACTTCCTCACAATTTGCTCAGGCGCCGCGGTCTTGCCATTCAAGAACCGCGCGTTCGCTGGGGACTTCCCCAAATTTACTTAGGAATCGCTCTCTCGCTGGGAACTTCTTGGCTAATCACGCAGAGCTCACGATTGATCCGCCCGCTCGGCCCGCCCGTCAGGATCATGCCTTCGTGCCCCATGCTCGCTTGCGCCCTATGTGCCTCATTGCTGCCCTTCGTGGCCCCTCCCCTTGTGGCCCGGTCGCTGCCCTACGTGGCCCATTTATACGCCCTTCGTGGCCCCCAGTCGCTCGTGGCCCCATTGCTGCCCTTCGTGGCCCCGCTGCTGCCCTCAGTGGCCCCCTCGCTGCCCTTTGTGGCCCCGTCGCAGCCCCTCGTGGCCCCCTCGCTGCCCTTCGTGGCCCCGTTGCAGCTCATCGTGGCCCCCTCGCTGTCCTTCGTGGACCCGCTTCAGCCCTTCGTGGCCCCCTCGCTGCCCTCTGTGGCCCCGTCGCAGCCCGTCGTGGCCCCCTCGCTGCCCTTCATGGCTCAGCCGTCGCCCTTCACGGCCCCTCCGCTGCCCTTCGTGGACCCGTTGCTGCCTTTAGTGGCCCCGTCCTTGCCCTCCGCGGCCCAATATGCGCATGCCCTTCGTGGCCCCCGGTCGTTCGCGCCCGTCGTGGCCCCACATGCATGCCCTTCGCGGCCCCGCTGTCGCCCTTTGTGGCCCCCTCGCTGTCCTGCGTGGTCCCGTTGCTACCCTCAGTGGCCCCGTCGTTGCCTTCTGTGGCCCCGCATTATCTGCCCTTCGTGGCCCCCGCTCGTTCGCGCCCGTCGTGGCCCCATACGCATGCCCTTCGTGGCCCCGACTCTCAACTAGACACTGCCGCAATTGACCAGCACGAAGACTGACGGGAACCAGGCGAGGCTAAGCAAGAAGGATGAATGCCCTTAGCTGGAGATCAGGCTTGGGAAACACCTACGCTGCACTGGGAGCACCCGGACCGGCTGAGCACGAATGAATACTGAATGGGTCGGTGATCCTGTGTGCGTGTTCTGCATCGCGCCTGCACCTCCACACTATGGAAGCTGGGAGCGGCGGCGCAGCGGGGGGGGCCTACAACCTTGGTGCCTAGCGCCTCGAACAAAGTTTCTGGTGGCGGGCATGGGCGCACCCACCAGTCCAGAAGCGCAAGGACATCATGCCCGCTCACTGTGCCGAATGGTACCTGACGGGTGCGGACATGCAAGACACTTGACACGAGCTGAGCACGTTCCTCCTCCTCCTGATCCTCCGCCTCCTCGTTCTCCTCGCTACCCAGCTTCTCCTCCTCCTCCTTCTCCTCCTCCTTCTCCTCCTGTCCTCGTCACCGCGGCTGAGATGCGGCGACGCGGGACCGAGATCCGGAGGAGAGGTTTCTGTTGCTGCCGTGATGCCTCTCAGAGCTTCCACTGCTGCGAGCCATACAATCGGGGCCCTGAAGAAGGAACCATTTTCGTTGGGGAGGGGCTCCGTGTTCCTTGATTGTTTCACAGCTTGCCTCAGGTTCTCCTTCTGCTTTCGATCGGAAATCGAAGTTTAACTTATGGAAAAACGGGGCCTCGTTCCCTATTTAGGGTTCCTTAGGTCAACGCCCCGACTGTATCTGAGAAACGGCGCCCAGCCCGTGGGGTGCCACGGCCCCCGCCTCCGCGGCGCTCCGCGGGCGGCGTCGCCCGGCGCCTCCGCCCCGCGCCCCCGCCGCGGCCGGGGCCAGCCGAGCAGACCGCCCGCCCCGCTGGCCCGCGAGGGCCGCGCAGGCGAGCACCGGGTGCTCGGCGGCCGCCGCCGCCGCCGCCGCCGTCGTCGTCGCCGCCGTCGTCGTCGTCGTCGGTCGTCGGTCGTCGGTCGTCGGTCGTCGGTCGTCGTCGTCGTCGTCGTCGTCGTCGTCGTCGTCGTCGTCGTCGTCGTCGGTCGTCGGTCGTCGGTCGTCGTCGTCGTCGGTCGTCGTCGTCGTCGTCGGCGTCGTCGTCGTCGTCGGAGCGGGAGGGCGGCGCGCGGTGCGCGCCCGGGGCGCTGGCTGGCGGGGAGGAGGTGCGCTTGTGCCGCGCTTGTGCCGGCTGTCGCGGAGGAAGGAGTGGGAGGAGAGCTGCCGTTGAGGCACGCTGTCTGGTGCCAGTTGTCGCTGTTCACTGCCAGCTGTCGCGGTTCGCTGTCGCCGTCGCTGTCGCGGAGGCACGCCGTCTCGTGCCAGCTGCCGCTGAGGGGGGAGGGGGTGAGCAGAATGAAGATGCGGGCGGGGAAGGAGAGGGAGAGGAGGCGGCGAAGGTGGAGGGGGGACCAGAGAAGGAAAAGGTGCCCATACCCGTAACCTTCGCCCGATTTCCCTTCTTTTTGGCCTCCTGGGAGGCCTTTGTTGCCACACTGGATCCGCCTCGAAGTTCTGGTCAGAACGCACCCCAGGAGAGGTCCGTGGATTAGCAGTATCGGTACCTTCTGGTTTCCCCTGCGAGGGGATGACCAGTATGAAGAGGTGGGCGGGGAAGGAGAGGAAGAGGAGGCGGCGGAGCAGCACCAGCAGTTCGCCCCCCCCCCCCCCCCCCGCGCCTCCGCCACCCGCCTGCCCTTCCCCACCCTTGTCCTTCCGCTCCCTTCCGCAACGGCGGCGGCGACGGACCCCTGGAGGAGTTCGAGGGCCTCCTGGACCACGAGCTGCTGCTGGAGTCCATATATGGTGCCCAGGGCCTGGACCTGCGAGCGCAGCAGGATGCCCGCCACTCTCGCCGCCGCCCGTCGTCGGTAGTCGTCGTCGGTCGTAGTCGGTCGTAGGTCATCCTTCGTCGTCGTCGTCGTCGTCGTCGTCGCCGCTGCTGCTGCCGTCGCCGCCGCCGTCGTTGTCGTCGTCGTCGTCGTCGCCGTCATCGTCTTCGTCGTCGTCGTCGTCGTCGCCATCGCCGTTGTCGTCGCGTCGCTGCTGCTGCTGCCGCCGCAGCCGTTGCCGCCACCACCGCCGCGGTCGGCGTCGTCGTCGTCGTCGTCGTCGTCGTCGTCGTCGTCGTCGGCGTCGTCGTCGTCGTCGTTGGCAGACGTCGGTTGTCGGTTGTCGGTCGTCGGTCGTCGGCCGTCGGTCGTCGGTCGTCGTCGGTTGGTCGGTCGGTCGGTTGTCTGGCGTTGTCGTTGTCGTTGTCGGTCGCCGTCGGTCGTCGTCGATCGAGGATCTGTCGATGACCGATCGAGCGAGCCTTTCCCAGATTTCTGCCTCTGGGGCCCCTTTTCCGAGCCCAGGGGCCAGCAGACATGGACTCAGGATGGAGAGCTGCCCCGTCGACACTTTTGGGGCCCGTCGTCGACGCCGCTGCCGCCGTCGCCGTCACCGTCGCCGTCGCCTTCGCCCTCGCCGTCGCCGTCGCCGTCGCCGTCGCCGTCGCCGTCGCCGTTGCCGTCGCTACCGTCGCCGCCGCCGCCGCCACTGCCGCGGTCGTCGTCGTTGTCGTCGTCGTCGTCGTCGTCGTCGTCGTCGTCGTTGTCGTTGTCGTTGTCGTCGTTATCGATTTTCGAAGTTCGGGGGATTCGAGTATTTTCGAAGGACCTCCGAGGTTCTCGGTGGAGGGCCCTGGAGGCTCCTGGAGGTTCTCGGAGTTCGTCGCTGTCGCCGTCGGCCGTCGGCCGTCGTCGTCGCCGCCACCGCTGTCGTCGCCGCCGCCGCGGTCGCCGCCACCGCCGCCGTCACTGCCACACCCGCCGACGCCGTCGCCGCCGCCGTCGCCGTCGTCGCCGCCAACGCCGCCGTCACTGCCACAGCCGCCGTCGCCGCCGCCGTCGCCGTCGCTGCCGCGTTGCCGTCAGCGTTGTCGAAGTCGACTTCGTCGTCCAAGGCTCAGCGGCTGAGGATCGAGGTGTTCGAGCGTTTGCATACCTTTGTCTGGGCCTACAGGACAGGAGGCCTCCGGAGGCCTCTGCGGACCTCCAGAGATCTCTTAGGACCTCTTCAAGGCCCCGGCAGAAGTCCAGAAACGTCTATGTCGTCCTCCTCTTCTCTTTCCCCATGCTTCTCTTCCTCCTCTACCTCCTCGCCCTCCCTCCTCCTTCCACTTCTTCGTTTTCCTCCCTTCTCCGCCCTCGTCCTCACCCTCGTCCTCCTCCTCGCCGTCGTCCTGGTCACCCTCATCCCTCATCCTTCCTCATCCCCGTACGCCTTTCCGCCGACCCCGATGACAGCGAATTCGTCGTCAAGAGTCGTGCAGCCGTGCCTGGCCTGTGCGTCAGGAGCCTCGGGAATGCATGCCAGGGTCTCTCGGAATGCCTCCCAGGGGCCTCTTGGCGGGTTCTCGTGGGCATGTGATTGGTTTCGGGGGGCATGTCGGGAGCCTCTTGGGGGCCTCTTGGGTGCTTCTTTGAAGCTTATTGGGGTCTCTTGGGGGCGCCTCGGGGGTCACTGCAGGGCTCTTGGGGCCATCGCGGCGGGAAGACTCGAGATATCAGTTCGTATTGCCCTTCTTGGGCCCATCTTGGGGCTCTCCTGGCCGTCTTACGGGCGCCTGGGGCCGTCTTGGAGCCCTTCTGGGCCCTCTTGGGGCTCTGTTGGGCTTTATTGCGGCCTTCTAGCCTCATGGGCCGTCTTGGGACGATCTTGTGGGCTCCATGGGCCTCAGTGGATGCTGCCAAGACGAAAAAGACGAGCGTGTCGAATATGCATGTTTCAATAAGGGGATGGGACAATCTTTGCCTCTTGGGGCCCTCTCGGTGACCCTCTCGGTGACCCTCTGGGAGCACTCTTGGGCCGTCCTGGGGGCGTCGTGGGCCGTCTTGAAGCCATCTTGGACCATCGCGGGGTCACCCTGGGCGGTCTCGACGCTCTCTTGGATTGTCTCGGCGCTCACTGTGCCGTATTGACGCTCTTTGGAGGCCCCGGAGGGCCCCTGGGAGTGCGTTGAGGAGCTTGTCCTCCCCCCTCCTCCCCCTAGAGAGGGGAACAGCAGCCAAATGTCTCACGCGTCTTTTCATCCCCGGCAAGCGGGGGTCGGCACGTGCGGGATGGGTACCCTAATGTTTTTGTGCTTGTTGGATGTTCTTGTGCATCCTGGGGGAGGACACCCTCGAATGTCCTTCAGTTTGGTCGGCAGAAGGTCTCATGTTCTTGAAGGGTGGTATTCTAGGTCCGGCCGTACCTTCTCCTTCCCATCCTTCTTTTTACCTCCTGCCTCCCACTTCCTCCTTCTCGTTGCCTTTCCGACCATCCTCGTAACTCCCACCTCCTGCTGCTCCTTGTGCTTCCTGCCTGCTTCTCCCTCCCACCTCCTTCTGATCCCTCCTGCATCCTTCTCTTCCTCCTCCTCCTCCTCCTGCGTCTCCCTCTCTCGCTTCTCCTCCCCCCTCCCTTGTTTCCCCTCCTCCTCCGTCTCTTCCTACCTCTTCCCTCCTTTCCTCCTAGGTTTGGCCGTACCTCCGTCCTCTTGTTCTCGTTTCTCCTCCGCTTCCAGGGCGGGCGCAGCAGGGAGGGCAGGGCGAGGCTTCGGGCGTGAGCCGGCGGGAGGGAGGAGCGAGGACGTGCGATGCAGGAAGCCGGGGAGGACGAGGGGGACAAGAGGGGAGGAGGAGGAGGAGGAGGAGGAGGAGGAGGAGGAGGAGGAGGAGGAGGAGCAGGAGCAGGAGGAGGAGGAGGAGGAGGAGGGGGAGGAGGACCAGTGTAAACCCAAGACTCATCAACGATGTTGGAATGAACCCTTCCTCCAAGTGCCCTCTTAATAGGCTCCTGCAACGGCTCGTCTCCACTGAGGGAACTGCCTCTTCGGAAGACAACCTTTTGACCATCCTGACGTATGCCAAAACAGTGTTCTCGGGAGTCCAACGCCATGGATCAGCCCGACTGCTGCGTCGTGACGAGCCGGAGTCTTGCCATAACGCCATTCTCCAGGGACGTCAGCGCCGCGGGTCAACGTAGCTGTTGCGCCCGCATAACCCTGAATCTTTCCAACACGTTATTTCTAGTACGTTGCTCATGGGGATCCGTGAAACCTTGGCAACTTTTATAGACGAATGTGCGCTGATTTAAGGCGAGAGCCACATTTGGAAAAGGAGCCGTTCTCGATCCGTGAAGCCCTTGCAAGTTTGTAAAGCGAATGTGCAAGAGGCACATTTTGAAAAAAAACCGTCGCCCTCAATCCGTGAAGCACTTGCGCATTTTTAGTGCGAATGTGCGCGGCGCTCAGGCGAGAGCCACATTTTGAAAAAGAACCGCCCTCAATACGTGAAGCTCCTGCAACTGTTTCAAGGAGTGTGCGCGGCCCTTAGGCGAGAACTACATGTTGAAAACCCGTCGTCATCAATCCGTGAGGCTCTTGCACATAAAAACAAACGAATGTGCGCGGCGCTCAGGCGAGAGCCACATGTTGAAAGAATCCGCCCTCAATCCGTGAAGCTCTTGTAAACCTCAAAGCGAATGTGCGCGGCGCTGAGGCGAGAGCCGCAGATTGAAAACTAGGTAGCCCTCAATCCGTGAGGCTCCTGCAAAATTGAAAACGAGTGCGCGTGGCGCTGAGGCGAGAGCCACATTTTGGAAGCCACCCGCCCTCCATCAGTGAAGCTGTTGCTCATTGTAAGTTTTAGGGCCATATGCGGTGAGGAAGTCTCAGACCAAACGCCTGGTCCGCCCTAACAGCTGGCCTCGGGGTGCGACAGGGAAAAGTTACATATAAGGAAAGGGAACGGAGGAGAAAGAGAAGGAGGAGGATAATGAAAAGGAGGAGGAGGAGGTGGCGGAGGAGGAGAAGGAGGAGGAGGAGGAGGGGGAGGAGGAAGAGGAGGAGGGGAGGAGGGAAGGGGGATGATGGGTGGAGGGAGGTGGGTAGCGGGAGGCGGCAGTGCGGAGGAGCGAGGGCGTACGATGGAGGAGGACGGGGAGGAGGAGGAGGAGGAGGAGGAGGAGGAGGAGGAGGATCATGCGGAGGACGAGGACGAGGAGGAGGCGGAGGAGGAGAAGGAGGAGGAGGAGGAAGAGGACAAGGAGGATGATGATGAGGAGGACGTGAGGAGGAGGGGGGATGGGCGGCGGGGGGGGCAAGGAGGCGGGGGAGGTGGAGGGGAGGAGGACAGGTGGATGATGGGTGGAGGGAGGAGGGTAGCGGTAGGCGGCAGTGCGGAGGAGCGAGGGCGCACGATGTAGGAGGAGGAGGATGATGATGATGATGATGAGGAGGAGGAGGAGGGGAGGAGGGGGAGGAGGAGGAGGGGAGGAGGGACGAGGGATGATGGGTGGAGGGAGGAGGGTAGCGGGAGGCGGCAGTGCGGAGGAGCGAGGGCGTGCGATGGAGAAGGACGGGGAGGAGGAGGAAGGGGAGGAGGAGGAGGAAGAGGAGGAGGAGGTGGAGGAGGAGCAGGTTCAGGAGGAGGACCAGTGTAAACCCAAGAGTCACCAGCGATGTTGAAATTAACTCTCCCTCCAAGCTTCCTGTTCGTAGGCCCCATACAGCGGTTCATTTCCATTGACGAAACTGCCTCGTTGCAAGATGCCAAACCATTGTTCTCGGGAGTTCAACGCCACGGATCAGCCTGACCGTTGCGTCTTGACGAGCCAGAATCGTGCCATAACGCCGTTTCTGGGACGTCACACCGCGAAATAATACATCTGCTGCACCCGCATAATCCTGAATCCTTCCTAGACACCAGTTCTGGTACGTTGGCCACTGGCATCCGTGAAACGCTTGCAATTTTGTTAAAACGAAAGTGCTCGGCGCTAAGGCGAGGGCCACATTTTGAAATGGAACCGCCCTCAACCCGTGAGGTTCTTGAAATGAGTAAAAGGAATGTGCGCGGCGCTAGGGGGAGCACATTTTGAAAACCACCCGCCCTCAATTTGTGAAACTCTTGCACATTAAAAAACGAATGTGCGCGGCGCTCAGGCGAGAGCCACATGTTGAAAGCCCTCAATCCGTGAAGCTCTTGTAAACCTCGGAGCGAATGTGCGCGGCGCTGAGGCGAGAGCCACATATTGAAGACCAGGTAGCCCTCAATCCGTGAGGCTCCTGCAAATTTTAACACGAATGTGCGCGGCGCTGATGCGACAGCCACATTTTGAAAACCACCCGCCCTCCATCTGTGAAGCTGTTGCCACTCTTAAGCTTCAGAGACATGAAGGGTGAGGAAGTCTCAGGCGAAGCGCCCGGTCCGCCCTAACAACTGGCCTCGGGGTGCGACACGGAACAGCTAATTATATGGGAAAGGAATGGAGGAGGAGGAGGAGGAGGAGGAGGAGGAGGAGGAAACGGAGACGAAGGAGGAGGAGGAAGAAGAGGAGGATGAGAAGAGAGGAGCAGGAGGAGGAGGAGGAGCAGGAGGAGGAGGAGGACGAGGAGGAGGAGGAGGAGGACGGGGGAGAAGGAGGAGGGGAGGGTGGAAGAGAGATGATGGGTGAAGGGAGGAGGGTAGCGGGAGGCGGCATCTCGAAGGAGCGAGGGCGTATGATGGAGGAGGAAGAGGAGGGGGAGGAGGATGATGATGAGGAGGAGGAGGAGGACGAGGACAAGGAGGACGAGGAGGAGGAAGAGGCGGAGGAGGAGGAGGAGGAGGAGGAGGAGGAGGAGGAGGAGGAGGAGGAAGAGGAGGAGCAGGAGCAGGAGGGACGGGGGCCGAGGCCTGGCGCAGCCGTCCGTCGAGACGAACAGCAGGCGGGACGGCCGAGGCGGCCGCGTCCTCAGGCGAGCACGGCGAAGGCGCCCGCCACCAGCGCCAGCATGGGCCCGCCCCCAGGAGGGGCCAGACGGGCCATCAGCGTAGCAGATGGCGACGCTCCCGCTCTCCCAGACGGGGAGCTACGCGGGCAATAACGAAGCCGATGCCCACCAGGAGGAAGTAGGGCATGGCTGCCATGAAATAGTCGTCGTCGAGCTGGGCCAGACGGGCCAACCACTTAGCCGTCGACGACGCTCCCGCACTCCCTTAGGGATCAGAGGCCAATATGTAGCGGCTGCCGATCCTCACGAGGCGACGGAGGACCCGCAGCACAAAACAGAACCGACAATCAAACACCGTCGGCACGCAAACGAGGATGACGTCCGTAGCATCACGTGTCCACAGCCGCCTCTGAGACCCTCATTGTGGCCCGCCCCCAGCTGAGCCAGCAGGGCCTGCCCCCAGAAGGGCCAGACAGGCCATCAGCGTGCACCCCCCCGAGGGAGTGACCACCACCCCGCCACACATTGCCAGCGAAGGTAGTCACCCACACCGTCCAACCAGGTAGTGACCATAATCCAGCCACATTGTGCCAAATACTGTAGCAGCCACCAACAGAAAGTACCAGGGGCAGACCGCCCTCGAATCATAGTAGTGTGTAGCCGCTGTCCGAGGCCCGTTCCCAGCAGACGGCAAGCGCACCTGTCACCAACAGGTGGCCAGAACACCCTCTCGGGTCGCTTCCGCTGGGAAAGGAGGCATGAGAGGCACGCGCACCTGTCACCAACAAGTGGCTAGAAACCCCCCGCGGGTCGCTCTCATGCTCCTGACCTTCTGGGAGGCAAGCGCAGCTGTCACCGACGGCTGGCCAGAACACCCTCTCGGGTCGCTCCCCTTAGGCCATTGGGCATGCATCCTAACCTTCGGAGAGGCAAGCGCAGTCGTCACCAACGACTGGCCAGAACACCCTCACGGATCGCTCTCCGGAGGCCAGTGAATACACACGATAGACGTCCTTCAGGCCGCTGATGCAGAAATGTTTGCCAACCCTTCTTGGGGAACAGCGGGCAAGGTGAACTCGACGTTGTCTTTAGGGTGCAGGCCCTTCAATAAACGCCGTCATCCCGAGTCAATATTCGAAAGGAACGTCTTACCCTTTCCTTCGCCACTCGGGATCCCGCAACATTCCGCCAGTAGTTGCTTGGATGCACCTCCCGCCGACCACGCAACGCAGACCTCGCAGACAACCGTAGGCCCTGCACGTCGGAGATGATGCCCATTGCATTGAATGACTTCAGCTTCAGCCCACTCAGAGACTAAGACTTCGCCGACGTCGCCAGCGTCCTCTGGAACGTCAGCCGCATCCAGCGCCTCCATCACGAACTTGCCCGTCTCAGAGACCTGAAAAGCGGTGCCGCCACCAAACTCCACCATAGCCTCAGCACGTAAAGCGTCGAGGCGTGACGGCTGACACGGCGTTCTGAGAAAGGTTCCAGGCCGCTTTTGAGTTGCCTGCTTTACGTCTGGCGCACTGCCTGTACACGAACGAGCCATCCGATAACCTCGCAACCTCGTGCGAGGTCACCTGCGCGGGCATACTGCGTGCCCCCACTGGCTTGGGCATCACGTCTGGGAACTCAGGCTCCCACTTGCCAGCACGCATGGTACGCTGCATCACCCACCCAATGCAGGCCGCAGCACGCTTGGCGAAATTCGTCTCGAGGTTATAGTATTCCTCGTAAACCTTCGGCGCCGCATGTACTTCAGCACCTCGTCGAGCGAACCAGTCAGCCCACATATTGCCCAGGTAGAGCAGCGGGCTGAGGCCTTAGGATGAGGAGGCCGATTCTCTGCGGCAGCTGCGCCCGAATTGCAGGCCTAGGCCGACGAGTGTCAAGTGACCCTGCTGGGGGTGCACGTGTAGTGCACCCAGACAGTGAGGGGAGGGGGATGGGGGAGGGGGAAGGCGAGGGGAGGGGGAGGGGGAGGCGCGGGGTAGTGCAGGGGAGGGGGGGAGGAGTGGAGGGGGAGGGGGGGAGGAGAGGAGAGGAGAGGAGAGGAGAGGAGAGGAGAGGAGAGGAGAGGAGAGGAGAGGAGAGGAGGGGGAAAGGAGAGGCCAGCACAGGGGAGGGGAGGGCCAGGCCCCCAGAGGCCCGCAGAGACCCAGAGGCCCGGGTCTCCCCATGGGATTCCAGAGAGGCCCGAGCAGGAGCATGGAAGCCTCGAGCTCCTCCCTCCCTCTGGAAGCGGTCGTGGCCAGACCTCCTCCTCCTCTTCCTCCTCCTCCTCCTCTCCAATTCCTCTAACTCCTCCTCCTCCTCCTCCTCCTCCTCCTCCTCCTCCCCCTCCTCTTCCTCCTCCTCCTCCTCCAATTCCTCTAACTCCTCCTCCTCCTCCTCCTCCTCATCTTTCTCCTCCTCTTGACTTGGGCCCCGCCCCGCCTTTCTTCTTCTGTCTCGCCTGTACGGGGGTTCGGGCGGGTAGGTGGCGAAAGTGGTGCAGTCGGACCGAGGCATACGATCGAGGTCGGTTCGGGGAGGGTGCCCTGATGATCTTCGTGCTGGTTGGATGTCCTAATGCATCCGGGTGGAGGGTGCCCTCGGGTGCTTTGCGGGTTCTGGGCGGCCGAGGGTCTCATGGTCTTGAGGGATGCTCTTCTGTTCTAGGTCCGGCTGCATGCTCCTCCCTTGTGCCCCCCCCACGGGGTGTGCTCAGACGGCGCTGGGGGGCACGACGCTTCAACCCCCAGCCGCTGTGGAAGCCCCTCGGGGAGCACGTGGGGGAGGAGGGGGAGGGTGACGAGAGGCAGGGAAGTGGAGGACGATGAGAAGAATGAGGAGACCTATTGGGAGCTCCTTGGGTCTACCGAGTCTGTTCTGGGTCCGGCTGTACGACTGCGCCTCCCTGTCGCGGCCCCCCCGAGTGGAGAGCAGCATCTGCTCCCCTTCCATCGTTGCGCGCGCCTGGCGCTCGAAGCTCGCTTTCCTTCTGTGTCTCCCCTTCCTCCTCCTCCTCCTCCGAGGAGGAGGAGGAGAAGGAGGAGGAGGAGGAGGAGGAGGAGGAGGATGAGATGCAGGAGGAGGAGGAGCAGGAGCAGGAGGAGGAGGAAGGAGGAAGGAGGAAGGAGGAGGAGGAGGAGGAGGAGGAGGAGGAGGAGGAGGAGGAGGAGGCCGCATCGTCCTGCCCCCCCCTCCTTCGAGGAGACGGCCACGAAGCTGCTGGCCGAAGTTGGCCTGCGAGCGCTCGATCTGGGGGTGAAGAACTGGGACGAGGACGGCGGGCAGACGCCGAATCTGCGTTTCTCCCTCCTTCTCCTCTTCCTCGTTCTTGCTCCTTCCCCTCCTCCGTTTTACCTCCTACCTCCTATTCCCTCCTTCTCGTTAACCTTTCCTACCTGCTTCGTAACTTCCACCTCCTGTTTCTTCCTGCCTGCTTCTCCCTTCCGCCTCCTCCTGATCCCTCCTACCTCCTCATCCTCCTCCTGCGTCCCCGTCTCTCGCTCCTCCCCCCCTCCCCTGTTCTTCCCTGTTTCCTACCTACCACATGCCTTATGCCTCCATTTGCTTCCTTCCATTTTATTGTTCTTCTTCTTCGTATTCCCTTTCCTCGTTTAGATACTATGTTTTGGTCCTTTCACTCTTGCCACTCTTACTTCTACTTGTACTTATACTTCTACATCCACTTCAACTTCTACTTCTACGAACGAGCGTGTTCTACCGCTGCCGGCGGAAAACCGGGGGGGGAGGTCACTGGGGGTTCCCAACCCGTCCCCCCCCCCCTCGAAAACCGGGGGAGGTCACTACCGGTTCGAACCCCTCCACCCCCCCAGTCCATCATGAAAAGGGGGAGGGGGAGGGGGTTACTACCGGTTCGACCCCCCCCCCATCGAAAACGGGGGGGGGTCACTACCGGTTCGAACCCCCCACCCCTTCGCCGCCGGCAAACGATTCCCGCTCCTCGGGACAGTTGGACAATTGTGGGGATGCTGGGACAATGGTGGGAACGGTGGTGGTGGGGACAGTGG